TGCAAGGATTTTCTTTGATCATCTAAATGCCTATGATTATCATAACATGATGCCAATACAATCTGTACGGATATGCCTCAAGATTTAATGTTTATAGACGGTCCATTTTAGCGGTGACTACAGAAAAGCATAGACTTGGTTATGAAGATGGAAATCTGTGAAGATGACAGTCTGAGATTTTACATGCTTAGAAGTATAGCTTTCTCAAAGGTTTTCATGGTCTAAAGAGAAATGAGGCACAGATCAGAAAGACACTAACATGCTAGGATGAGATCACAAAATAGAGCTGTAAAACCACAGAGATGAGATAGTTCTGTGACCTTAAACTTCATAAAGGCCGTGTGTGTGTGTGTATGTGTGTGTGTGCGTGTGTGTGCGAGAGGAGGGGGTTGTCCTCTCTGTACTATGGCATAACCACACATCTGCGATTGGCTCAACATACAGCATGTCGGCATGGCTGGAGAGGGTATGAAACGTCTTGAACTATTAATGTCAGTTGGGCCAAGATAATGGCAATTTAACTTGAACTTCAACTATGCTTTACACATTTGTGTATGAATACTATTGCATCATCCAAGATATTGGCATGATTCTGAATTATTAGTCTAAATTGGCATTAAAAAGACATTTAATGTAATGTAAATCTGGAGTATTTATTTAACTATACATGTTTTTTCTGTTTTCGAACAGTTATAAGTCTACTTACATCCAATGAACTAGGAGCAAACAAAAACGTATCACTTTATAACTGACACAACTTTTCCCAACAATTTTCCCTTTGAAAAGATGCCTTTTCCAACCACAAGAGTTTCTCAGCAATCAGCATAGAATTCTGCTTGGCTTTATTTTTTTAAACATGAGAATCAAAGCTAAGGATGCATGAGAAATCTATGTAACCCCCCTTGGACATAGGCAAACATTCCATCAAGAATCAGATCTTTGCAAAACTTTGAACTCATGCACAGAGGACTAACATAAACAGTATTGTACTGCTTAAGAGCAATTGTTCCATTGGCAGAGCGATAGTCAAGTCATGAGGGATCCCCAAAGAATAACATTGTGTGTTTACATTTCAAGCAATTATACTAACCTCAAGAAGAGTAACAGGAAAAATTAATTATTCAATAAAAAAGGTTGAGAGTCAAGGGAGACTAGAGGAAAGTTACACATGACATTAAATTCCCCAGAGATGAAATAAAGTCCTGAGATGACGGCAAAGGAAATTACTTAATAGCTATATAGAAGCAAAAGGCAACATCGATGTCTTCAGATAGAAATCTTAATGTGGTCTTTTAACATATCAACTTTGACACTGGCTCTAAGAATATGAAAATCTTGGTTTGTTAACAAATAATGAGGACATTGTGCAAGGCCACTGTACAGTAATGTACTGTACAGTCCGGCTTCTGGTAGTATGTACAACAGAGCTAAAGGCACACCTTAAGAAAAAATGTATGTGTATGATTGCAGAAACAATATATGTTTGTTGAAAACTTATGGAGCAACATATTTTGTGTGAAAATAAATCATAAAAGTGGTTTATTTTGTTTAAAAATCTTATAAATGTATGAGGTGGCAAGATGGGCCTTTTACCCAAAGGCTCACCAAGGGGCAAAAGGCACATAGTGTTTATACAAAAATATAGTATTCTTAATTTATAGAAATACTTAAGCTAAAATAATATGTTTATAATAATGTTAACACTTGTTCAATAAATACTGTCATTAAAATATGTTAATATAAAAATATATTTGAAAAATATATTTTAAAAATTACTTTAAAAAGTAAGGATTCTGAAAGCATTGAATGAGATCCCATAATAATTTAATAGATTTACAGCAGTATAACGTTAAATCAAATTTTATGATTAATAGTTTAAATATAAATAATAAATAAATATGGCGATTTTCTCTAAGGTGGACACCCAACTTAATATATGATATTTACCATCTGAATCTAACCATGTCATGTCAACAAATGGAAAAGTCAACCAGATATTTATTATCATGGTAATTATTGTACCTTTCGCCCAACATTCGCCTCAACTGCAGGGGCGCCTTTTACCCCAAATACCAAAAATGGGTTGTTACAACCCAACTTTGGGTCAAATATGGACACACCCAGCCGTTGGGTCAAATTTTTAAATTACATTTTTAACCTAACGTTTGGGTTTGTCCATATTTGACCCAAAGTTGGGTTAAAACAACCCAGCATTTTTTAGAGTGATACCTTCCGTTAATGAAAAACTTTTGTTTTAATTAGCTTGAACAAAACTGAAAATCATTAACAAGACCTTTGTCTCAAAATATATTTAATAATTTTAGCGATTCTCATTTAATTAAATCGACAACTTTTTTATTTTATTTTATTTTTTTACGTAAAATATTTCATCAAAGTAGTTAAGTAGTTAGTTAAGTGCAGAACTTTGCGCTCCTGCTCGTTATCGCGTCAAGGATCAGGCAAAAATCCACTTCCATCTTGAAAAGTGGATGTTTTGGAAAGTTTTTTTTGCCATCTAGAGGAAAATAAAATCAAAGGAGCCTTTTACCCCGTGCAGCCGTTAGCCCCGTTGTTGCTATATCCTATATTATACATTTAGCCTATGCTCTATAGCATTTTACAGTCCACTTGTACCTTTGTAGCATCTAAAAGCAAATAGCAATATCTCACGTAAAATGCCAAGAACATTTAATTTATTCTGTGGCAACTTCAACATTTTCTGAATTAATTTTGTGGTAAAGAGAGCTAAATATGTATAATTAATAATTCTGCACACACAAAAAAAATTCTCAGCAAATATTTGAATGGTTTACTAATTGTAATAGCCTATAATTTTTAAAATCACTATATTGTTGGTTTTAAAAATCTCCAGTTATCAGTGTAGGCATAACTGGTCTTAAAGGTCCTGTTTTCTATACACATTTATATAAATATATAAGTTGTTTGGGCTCTTTCACATCTTAACCCATGTCAGCTTCTGCCATTTTGGGGTAATGAGTAGCACATAGACACACTACTTACAGTATTTTGTTTTGTAATAAATCAGAGAACCACTTCCTTAGTAAATGTTTCAATATGTGCACTGGTTTTGAAGAACACTTGGAGTGGTATTCTCATGGGAGGAGGTTACATGGGCCTAGCAATTACATTCACCAAGGATTTCGCTGAAATACCGCCTTATCGAGAGCAGGCACTGTGGATCAGGAGAAAAAGCACTCCACTTTTTTTCTCACCGGTGTTGTTGGATTGAAAGACATAGAGCATGACGTCCACAACACGCATCTTGAAAGGTAGAAAATGCATTTGGCATTAGCCTACTCTTAACAAATTGTCTATCAAATATTAGGCTACTAAACGTAATAGTCCCTATTTACAGACTGCATCAGCAACTCTTCATTTTACATTTTAAATATCAAACATAAGTGCTATAGCCGGTTTGAATCAGAATTAGCCTACTGCAAACCGCAGTTTTTATCGATGAATAATGTGGTTCTTAAATGGATTCGTATTAATTGTAGCCTACATCCTATATTAGCTGACATAGCCTACAGTAAGTTTCCGTTTATAGCTAGGCTACTTTTTTAAATAATTACTTTTGTCAAATAGATAAAAATTGAACTCTACGTCCTGGAAGTAATAGGCTATGCTTCTTCAGGTCTTGAAACTGATCAAATGAATGTCATGACAAGCAGGTTGCAAGCTACTAATAATAAAACCAAACATAGGCCTATAATAGGCTTACATGTTTTTTTTTATGAACGCGTTTTTATAGTAAAACTAACTGCTAAAACGCTTAAAATTCGATATTAAACAAAAATCTAGTCTAATTACAAGTCGCTTATTAAATGTGGGTTAGCTAGTTAATTTAACTTGTTGGCACAAATGTCTAAATCCGTTTTGAAAAGTAGGGTTGGCCTAAACTTTACTGGGCTAATGGCTCCAGAAAGTTCATTCTTTCGCAGAAATCTGCAAAGTAAACAAGCTCCGATAATAAAAATGATCAAGTCTAAACCTTCTAAAAGTAGACATGTAGTGAGGCAACAGTTAACTGAGTGGTGCGCGCTGTCTGTGGGAACTGATTGCCCTCTGGCTATTGCCTTGACATTAAACTCTTCGAGGACAATTGGTTAAGTGGAGTTAACTGTTGCATATTCTCCCTGAGGTAGCTTCCTTTTTGATCTTGCCGAGACTGGCGCCTTCCAAAACAGGGCTTGTCTGCGTTATGAAATGCTTTGACTTACGGTGAGGGGTTGCCAGTTGCGCCTCAATGGAGGCTTTCTGCAGTCTTAAAGGGCCAAGACAAGCTTTAAATTGCTGTAATGCAGCGTGACAAAATCATCCTCAATTCAGTCACATCATTTTGTCCTGCCATTTTGTCTTTATGGATATGCGTTTTTTTTCTCCACTGAACATATAGTTATATTTTTAAGGGTACAACAGACCAGATGCGATTTATAATTTAAAAAAGCAATTTTAAATTAAAAAAAAAAATTAGGCTACCACAAATTAAAAAAAAATACTAAGCCTACCACACGCCTTATCTTAGGGCGTTGAATAAAAAACTCAAAATTCTATCACATGTGCAATATAAATATTTTTTCCGCTATCTCCACTATCCAGCGTTTTTATAAAGAAATTTTTCACCCACAAACTGTGGACTAAGAGGCCAAGGAAGTGGTTTGTTTCGCTGTATGTTTTCAATAAGAGTTCAGTTAATGAGTACGGAGGCCCGCTATACAGACATCCCCTCTGGTTAATTGCAACAAAACTTCTCAAATGGCTCCTTGCCTCCAAGACTGGAGCCCCCAGAGCAATCAATAAACCACCTCGGCAAGACAAGTATGATTAACCATGCAACATTTCTTTCAAAATCATTGTGACGTCTCAAAGAAACTTGTTTGACCAATCAGGACGAGCAAGCGGAAAGTCATGTGGGTGAAATGTCAAGCCGATTGGAGGGCGGCAGGGAAAAAAAGAGAACTTTTGGAAGTTTATAGCTGCGAGTGCGCTCTGCTATGAGAGGGAGGCAGGCGTCGCAAAAGCGCGACGGCAGAAGGAAAAGGCACTGGGGAACGAGTACAATTCAGGACGACTCACATATTCTTATTGTATGGCCCCTCTATCATCCATGATGAATTCTTTTCAAGGGCCACTCTCCCAAGAAGGAAAACTACAGGAACGTAAAAGTGCGGACAAAGAGGAGTCTCAAAGCAACGATAAAGCGACTGTCAAAGGATGTAAAGGCAAGGCGCAGAGTCTCCCGTTCAGTGTGGAATCTTTAATATCAGACAGAACAAGCACACGGACTTTATACACGTCATCTGATTCTGGTATTATATCTCCGACATCCAGTGCAGATGAGCGGCTGAGGCTCTCGCCCATGGCTCTTTACGCAGACAGAAAGATCCCAGTGGAGAGCGTCTCCAACCTATCCGACTGCAAGAGAGGAGATATGGAAGAACTAAATGACAAGGGACAGTCCGGCTGGTTTCAGACACCCTCGTACACTTCTCCGCCAAGTGAGTTGTTCAGTGAGGAGGCGTGGCAATTATAAACATGAATTTATATATATACATAGCCTATAATAATAAAGTTTATTTAGATTTGAAATAGCTTTTTGTATGAAAATAAAACGATTGTGAGATGTGTAGAGGAAGGTCTTGATATCATCCAAAAGTAGAATATAATTTACCAGTAGCCTATAGCCTACTTCTGCAAAGAAAAGCCTGCGTTGCAAAAACGCATTCCTTAGAAAGACAAATTTGTGGATGTATTTGATTTAAAAATAGGCTAGGCCAATATTTTCATATCTGAATGTATAGGCAATTTAATAGGCATATTTCAAGCAGGCTAGGCCAATTTCGCATAGCCTATGTATAGGCTACTTCTGATAATGCTGAAAATATACGCGAAGCATAAGTGGAAAAAGCAGGGATTCGTTGTTATCAAGGCAACGTAATATAATTATTCTCATTTTAATATGTTTAATGTTTTGTTGTTTGTTCGCAGGGCACTCAAGTCCACCTCCGTGTACCCTCAGAAAACATAAGAACAACCGAAAACCGCGGACACCGTTTACCACCTCGCAGCTGCTCGCTTTGGAGAGAAAATTTCGTCAAAAACAGTATCTTTCTATTGCAGAGAGAGCGGAATTTTCCAATTCACTCAACCTCACAGAGACTCAAGTTAAAATCTGGTTTCAAAACAGACGGGCGAAGGCAAAAAGGCTTCAAGAGGCCGAACTAGAGAAACTGAAACTTGCAACCAAGCCATTATTACCTGCGTTCGCCTTTCCGTTCCCACTCGGAACACACGTTGGTTCTCCACCCCTCTACGGACCGTCCAGTTCCTTTGCTAGACCTGCGTTACCAGTCCCGGGACTTTTCGGTGGGCCAGTGACCTACGGAATGTACTATTTGTCTTAACCGACTGAAGAACGTCCTTCAGTTCACCGTCTGCTGCGGTTCTGTTAGTCAAATGACGAGTGAAATAGCAAATGTTTTCTTTAAAGAACTTCAGCAAATATACCAATTTAAAAGAATTTATTCTTGTGAACTACAGTTTATTCCAAAAGTGAGAGTCCCCAAATTGGCTTTAAAAGTGCAATGAATCTTCTTCCCCTGAATACAGAAGACTTTATCTTGTATTGTAAACAAGCAGACATAACACAGTGTGGCTGATTGTAGTCTCAGAGGAAACGATTTCCAAGAGATTATTTCTTCTGAGGGCACAGCCGATTTGGCAAGTGCCACTTGTTGATCAGCATCCCTTGTTGATGGGTGATGCGCGAGAAAACACTGTGATCTAAAGTGTTTCCGCCAGATCCAACAAAGCTCTTATTAAAGAAATGACCTTATAATTAGGTTTTTAAAAGTTTTTTTCTAACTTAAAGAGCTTGTTGCGATTGACAACAGAAACGCATAGGCTAAAATAAATAATAATAATAATAAAAAAAACATTTAATTTCTTATGACATTACTCATTTCCAAGCCTGCAGACAAATTCGGCCTAAATGGATAGTCAATTTGAGCCCACTTTTTTAAATGAATACATGTATTTTCACGCAAACCAAATATTTTGTAGCATATTACAAAGATTGTATAGGCTACCCAGATAGCTACAAATTTACGAAATCTGTCAATAGTTCCGCTACACTTCTTTTTTCCCCCGCATTAATTTGACAGACTACTCGGTTTTATGGTCACATGCTTGTTATTCTGTTGGTCATTATTGAAGAGAAACTATGCGGAGACAAACAGCATAGTCCATTATACCATCCTTTTACTGAACTTTTATACCAAACGTTTTTACATGCCGTTAGATACAGAGTATTTTGGCCTGTTTATTGATTTTTCGCCTGTTTAGGCATAATCCCTTCAGTAGACTACATGTATGCTAGTTTGCTAGGTTGTAAGATTAATGTCTAGATTTTTATTATTGTAAATACGCGTATATTACCGATTTTGCATTGCCCTTTTGAAAAAAATACAAATAGAATTGCTGATATTTATACAGTGTTTACATTTATCTTCTGTAAATTATTGTATATTTTATATGTATATACAAATTAGAAAAAATAATCTTTTGCATTAAAAAATAAATCTTCACAGAGACTGATGTGTACAATGTCATTATTTACAAGTAAAAAATACAAACTTCAACCTAATAATCCTCCAGGAGTTCTTTTTCTTTTCTCTCTCTTATGTTTCCTAAACCTAAATAAAAAGCGCTAGCCTGTGTAATTCACTGAGGTTTGTTACAGCTGTTAAACTGCGCATTGTTCCATGTATTAAATTGTTTAATGATGAATGAATACAGACATTTAATTTAAAAATAGGCCTAAGCGCTAAATGGGAAGCACGACATTTCCAAGAGACACGAATATGCTTCTAAATATATATATATTATTTATTTATTTTTTTAAGAAAAAAAAAGAGGAATAAAACAGTAGGCTATTTAAGTAAAAGGATCAAACACTTAACGCCGAACTCTCGCGGCCAAAATGAAAAACGAAAGAGCCATAGGTAGGCTATTCCAAAGGCTAGTCCTTCAGATAACCTTTTTATAGCGCTACAAAATCCAAATCCTCGTCAAACCCATTCGAGAACACACATTCCTTCCATTGCATCTCAAGTTTGTAACAGGTCTTCCAACAGTTCCATGTATTTGTGTCTGAAGCATCAAGCGAGAGAGCAAATCAAAGTGCCATTCGTTGAAAGCATCTTTAGATCTCGAAGCACATAGCCTACACTTAATGGAATACATACAATATGTATTTAAATTACTCAATATATGTGCAAGTATTTATTCTGCTTGACATTTGACTTAAATTTCTTGCCACAACCGCCTTAGTTTTAGATCTGATTAATAATATCAAAGAGAGAAGACACCTTTTTAAAGATTGCTTTAACAAGTTTTATTACAAATATGCCGCTCTCGACAAATTACTGCAATTGTTTGCATTGAATAAAAGCTTTGGCCTACTTCTTCCTTCTTCCTCTGAAGCCTCTGACTGAGCCTTGACCGAAGCAAATGGATGATGGAACTCTGGAGGAAAGATAATAATCAACACAGATAGTTCTGATCACTGAGTCTACCGGTTAATGAAACTTAACCAAGCATTTATATGAATCCATGACCATGAATCCACTCACTTGTATGAATATTGTGGCTTTAGATTAGCTGCATGCATTGGTCCGCTTTCTGCAGTCTTAAGGCTTTCTGGATCTGGGGTCAGAGAGAAGTCCATGGACTCAAAGCTCTCTTGTTGTATAGTTGCTGTTTCAGAAACCTCCATATGTGCATCCTTCTGTTGCCGAGTCTTTTTTTCTCGTATTCTGTTGATTTGCGCATTAAGATAATTAAAAAAAATACATTCTAAAATGATTAAAAAATAAAATAAAAAATTGTATGAGGCACTGAAATGACTGAGGTGACTGGATAGAGTGCAAAAGTACAATATCTATATTCTAAAATTGTCCACAATTTACAATCAATATTAATTTCAAACCTTCCACTCTTCTTTGATTTGTCAAATCTGAAGTCTGCTGGATAGCTATGTGTTCTGATAAGATGATCTTTCCTTTCTTTGGTTGTTTTGAATTTCAATCCACATCCATCAACCAAGCACTCATACTGAAAAGCAATATTAACAGAACACAATCAGCAACGCTGAATGATATTTGTTTGTTCAAAGACAGTGTGCATGGGGAGGAGGAAAAGTGTACTAATATTTTCTTTCACAAATGTTATTTCTTGTCCCTTTAAAATCGGTTTCAAGTCAATGAAACACGCACTGACTCCTAGTGTTGAATCCAGTAGGTGGCAGCATTTCATAAACACTTTCTCTGTGTATGAATATCAATTCTTTAAAAAATATGTAGTATTTCCAGTGAGAAAGTAATATAAAACCGGAAAATGTATTTGTAGTTAGTATGCGCTACAAAAAAATTATGTATCATCCAATTATTTTTTTTACAGTAGATTTTCTTTTCTGGTAGATAGGCTATATATACACCCAAATAATTCATGCAAGATTGCCTGCAATCAATGACACTCCAATTCTCATCACCTTCATCAAAGTGGTAAATAAAACTATATCTAGCATGCATATAGTCTGTCTGAAACATGCCACTCAAAAACATGTTATGAAAGACATAACCATAGCACTTCATACAACAACATGTATCACTCAGTACAGTCCTATGACCTATCTGGTGGTACTATTACCATGCATTGTTTCTCCGCCATGACCTGGAAGAGCGAGTCATGCCACTCCAAGATGTGTATCTCCAGCAGTCGGTTTGATGGAAATGAGCGCTTGCAGTTGGAGCATACATTTCGATGCAATGAATTGTAGTGGTGTTCATACCCTTCCAATGTGTCAAATAACTGTTTGCATCCAGCTATGTGACATCTGAACTCAGAGATACTGGGAAGAGGTTTGAGATATTAGTGATACATTTATCAAGGCAAGACGATGTTCATCAAAATACCCCCCCCACCTCATGAGATACATTGACATCACTTAATGATAGTACTAATAACTACACTAATAATATTAATAGTAATCTAGCGAGTCACAATGACAGCAACAGAGAAAGAATCACATCCAGTTGAACTAGAATAAATATACAAGGACATTTTAAGAGCTGAACAACTGAGGTTCTTTATAGACATATGAAAATTATTTAATAGCTTTAACAATTATGATGCATAACAATTATGATCTCAATAAGATCTACCAATTATTATGATTATTAACGATTTTAAGTAATTTGCCAAACTACAAAGCAATATCAGTGGTGAAGCGACATCACTCACGTTGGAGGTTGTTCGTCATATACAATAGCCGTCACGACATCTCGTAGGTACATGTGCCTGTGTATGTCGCCATCCTGATGAAGAAGAAACATGAGATCGGGATATTGATATTGGTAAATATCATCGCCACGTGGTCAGGCAAGTAAGTTTCTACTTTGACACTCTTAGGTTAAGTAAGATATTGAGAGAAAAGCATGCCATTGTTGATATATTGCCAGAAGGATTGCACTTTTTTGAAGAGCAAAATTCTTGTCGACCAAATCGAATCTACCAACCTCAAAAAATTCATCTTCTACAGCAATTCGAACTCGTTGAGGTCTGAATCCAAAAGGTGAAACAGCAGTTTCATCCCTTCTTTCTTCTTGTTGTAAATCAAGACAAGCGTATTTTCTATATTCAATCACCGGTATCTTATCTGCAAGAATTGTTGGTGTTACAGACCCCAACAGTTCAATTAATTCGGGTTGCAGCATTATGTCAACATACTCCGCGTATACGCCGCCATGCGATTCCGTGTCATCGCCCTTTCAAAATAAAAGCCCGTTGATGACGCAGATTTCATGAGAAACTTGTAATTTTATTTTGATGCAAAACCAGTGCAATCAAATAGAAAAAGTCTGATTTATAGTCTGATAGTCAGTATATAGTCTAATACTGATAAACAATACTGTAAACCTAAGCAGAAAAAAGCTAAGAAAAACTGCACCTGCAGAAAATAACCACAAGATGTCAGTAGAGTCATTCTTGTTATGCTGTTCATCCATCATTTTTCAAACGGCTGGGATGCTGGATGCTCCCATCATATATTATTGGATAAAATATTACTGACAACATAATAACAATTTGAAATAACAATATTTGTTGTTTTCTTATAGCACATGTGATAGCTACATTTTAACTACTACTATTCATGTCCTTGGCCAAGTGTTTCCTTATGATTATAAAAAGAAAACACTTGGCCAAGGACTTTTTTTTAAGTGTCCTTGACTTTTTTTAAAAAGTGACCTTGAATTTCACTTTCTGTCCCAACTATAGACTTTTGCAATATCCTTTTTGTAATAACGAACATAGCCTATCCTTAATGACATCATCCTTCAGGAGATGACAAAATCTCATCTCAGCACATTTAGGCTAATGAATGGCTATGCTCTTCTTAATTTTGTCATTTAATCTGAATATCAGCATTTGTAATATTTAGTCAGTGGAAACAGTTCTGAGTTTAATTGATCTAATTATGTGTCTCTGGATAACAGTGATACATTGTATTACCTTGAATATCGTAGGTTTTCCTACGATAGGTAGGAATAGGTTTATGTTTTCTGCTGCGTTCGGCTGAATAATGACACAGTTTTCTATAAGAGCTGCAACAGAACTGAACTCTGTTTGCATCATAGAATAATTTTCAGGTTATCACTATAAAGCTGCTGAAACAATCTGTAGGCCTATTGTATAAAGCGCTAGCCTGTATTTAAAAGTGACATTCTGTTTCGGATATAGTTAATTGTTTTTGACAGTGTATTACCAATCAAATGATTTGCTACTTTAGTGATCTTAACCCTCAGAAAGTTTTAATAAATACTTTGTAACACAAGCATATTCATTCCAGTTATGGAGTTGAAAAGATTGATGAACTACAAAAAAAATCTACCAAATTAGCATTAATATTGATTCTGGGTGGTAGGCATACCTAGCCGGATTTTTTTTCTTCTTCTTCTATCAAATGATTTTTCTATTGAAAATTTGTATTTCTATTTTGTTTCCCGAAAATACTAACACATTTGGGCCGTGACTCATTAGTGACTAGTTTGCTGTTACCGGATAAGGAGGTCGTATTGTTTATGCAAATCTAACTGAGGCGGAGCATTAACTTTAAGTATGAGTTCCCACAGCAGCCCACCACGAGTCCCCGAGCAAGTCCACTGGACAGTGAACCATGCGATACACTGGAATATTTATATCACTGCTTTCTTTTGTTTATACATGGGGTGAGCGCACAGCATTATGAGGATTATTTTACAACGCGAATCATGTCACATCGCGTGATGTGTTTTGAACTTACTGATTACACATACTGATGATTTGTTTATTGACTGTTGCTTTAGAGAATCTTGAGGCAGCGAATCCAGCTTTACCTCATGTGATGCGCTATGATGTGGTGCGACTCCGACCTCAGGCACTGGAAGAGCGAGTGAGAAGGAGCGCCTCTTCTCTCAAGGTTCGCTCTTTTTCACACTATTTTTTTGCAAATCTGAAATATCATTGACATCTCTTGGGATGCTTGATTCGACTTTTATTCATGCACCCTTGCTTTCACCTCTTTAGAGATATCCTGAACAACTTGAATATGATTTGGCTGTAGATGGGAGGAACTTAACAATATCTTTGCAACGAAATAGGTGAGAATGTGACAATATTATAACAGCTTATGCTCTAAACAATATTTAGAGGAGGTCTTGTATTCACACTCAGCCTTAAATTTCTTTTTTTTTTTCACAGGGAGCTTTTAGGAAAACATTACACCATGTCACATTATACCGAAGATGGAATTTCAGAGACAAAGTCTTCAGACAATATTGTATGTTCAAAAAGTAAAACAGCTTAATTCTGTCTGACATAGAATGTGAATATTGCTGCTTAATATAACATTGTATTCTGTTTTTTCACTTCAGGATCACTGCTACTATCAGGGACACATCCAGGATCTTGAAGACTCTTCAGTCAGTGTCGGACTTTGCTCTGGAATGGAGTAAGGATAATGTTAATTTTAAGCAACTTTTGTTAATTATAAAGGTGATTGAATATTAAAAACATTGAAATATATTATATTATTAAAAAAGATATTTCACAGTTAAATTTTTTGGGGGGGATTTTGCCTGTAATAAGTTGCTTTGGATAACATTGTCTAGTGTAAATGACTAAATTTGTACTATATGTACAATTTCGGCACATAATACATTTCGCCCCCTTTGAAATATTGTATCTTCTTTATTTTGTAGGGGGTTTCTGAGGGTGAACAATCAAGTTTACTTGATTGAGCCCCTAGAACAGTCTTTGGAAGGGGACCATGCTATTTACAAGCAAGAGCATTTAAGGACCAAGCAAGGGGCCTTTGGATACATTAATGACACAGTCTATAACCTTGGCCCTAAGTCTAGCGGGTTGCATAAGAACAAATATATGGTATGATTATGATATTATAATGATCTCTTGTTGAAATCTGATTAATATTGGACTAGCTACTTGTTTCATTATTATGCAGAATGTTTAATTTGTACCTATTGTCTATTTATAATGCATTTACCATTAAAAGTTTTATGACACTGACTTTTTCAACTGTCCTTCAGAAAAACAAAGCCCCCAGTGGAGGACAGCGGATCATTGAGATGGTTTTGGTCGTTGATCATACGGAGGTATGAATGTGGTTTAAAGGAAGAAATATCTTGGTTACTAATGTGTTGTGTTCATATTGTTAAAATACATTTTCTTCAGTACAAGAAGTTTGGGAGTTTTAAGAAAATTGAAGCAAGAATGATGTTGGTTGCAAATCACGTAGACAAGGTATCAAAAAACTTTGGTTATTATTAAATTATTAAATAATAGGGTTTGCATGGAATGGTTTTTAAAGTAATAATTATTGAATAAATACAACTTTTTTCACTTTCAGCTTTACCGGCCGTTAAACATGCGTGTCATGTTGGTTGGACTTGAAGTTTGGTCTCAAAGAGACTTGATTGATGTCAGCAATATACCAAATCTTACTCTGGAACGTTTTTTACAATGGCGTCAGGATAGCCTGCTCAAAAGAAAGAAGCATGACAATGCCCATTTTATTACGTGAGTCACTGACTGCTCATCTTAACCAGTTTCTGTGCTGAGATTGCCACATTTGTACTCACACTGAACACTGTTCCCTTTAAAATGTGTCTCACCACAAGCTTTAAACATATTTTTATTTAGTAATAGAAAATAATGTTTTAAACAGGCGGCTTGATGAAGGCCTGTTTGGGCCGATATGTGTTGGTGTTTTTTAATATGTAGCCCTTCCCTGAAAATAATGCCTTTTTAAAAGATAAAATCTATGTGAGTGCCTGGATGATTTGATCTATTCTATGCATTAGGATCCATATACAATTATCGATATTTATTTTTAGAAATTTTATTTGTGGATTTTTGAAACAAAACAAACATCATTTAATGACTTAAATTCTCTTTTTTTATTCAGTGCTGTAGATTTTGTTGGATCAACGGTTGGGTTGGCTACAATGTATGCTATGTGCTCTCCATCCTCTGGTGCTGTGAATGAGGTATATTTTGAGAACACGTGTATATATGTAAATCAATAGATTAAAAAGTGCTACATTTCTAATGTTTGAAATAAAGCTTTGGTTGTGGTAAATAACATAAGATATTTTTTCTTTGCAAAGGACTATAATAACAATTGCATTGCAGTGGCTTCTACCGTTGCACATGAAATGGGACATAATCTGGGTATGTCACATGATAATCAAAACTGTGGATGCTCCTCTAACAATGGCTGCATTATGGGAGATACCATTGGGTGAGGCTAATTGTAAATGCATATATTTATACAATGGGTGAAGATATAAGCAACTGCAGTTTAACTCTTCCTCAGAACCTTCATTTTCTTTCATATTCTTCCAACAGGGCTATTTACCCTGATTCCTTTAGTACTTGCAGTCAATCATCCTTGAGGACATTTTTGCAGAACTATGACAGCAGCTGTCTGCTAGACGTGCCGAATGAGCGTGAATTATATGGAGGCCCAGTGTGTGGAAATGCTTTTGTTGAAAAAGGCGAAGAATGTGACTGCGGAACTGTTGAGGTTTGACATCTTGGTTTTGAAATTCTCTAGATGAGTCAAGTCAGTTTCTCAGCTACAGCATAACATCACTAAAATAGAAGTGTGTATTTGAGTAGCCTATAATACACAATTGTTCAAAAGTTTGAGGTCGGTAAAAAAAATTCAACGTTTTTGACATTTTTAAATGTTTTAGTGAATGCAGTAAAAAATACAGTAATAGTGTGAACTATTATTACAGTTTAAAATAAAGGTTTTCTATTTTAATATCTTTTTAAAATGTAATTTATTCCTGTGATGGCAAAGCTGAATTTTCAGCATCATTACTCCAGTCTTCAGTGTCACATGATCCTTCAGAAATCATTCTAATATACGGATTTGCTGCTCAAGAAACATTTATTATTTTTATCAATGTTGCTGCTTAATATTTTTGTGGATGCCATGATACATATTTTAAGGATTATTTGACGAATAGAAAGTTCAAAAGAACAGCATTATGTCTTTATTGGATCTTTACTGTTACTTTTGATCAATTTAACATGTTCTTGCTGAATAAAAGTATACATTTCTTTCTAAAAACGCTTAACTCAAACAGTAGTGTATTCTAAAAAAAAAAGTTCTTCATTTTGTAAACAATGAAGAAACAAAAACTTTGTAAACAATGATTTTAGGAATGCAACAATCCCTGCTGCAATGCCTCCACCTGTCGACTGACCGAAGGTGCCCATTGTGCACATGGAGAGTGCTGCCACAATTGCCAGGTATCAGAAAAGCCGCCCACCAGGCTCCAAAAGAAGACAATTGAAAATACATGTGAAAGTAGATTATTGCCTTAATTTCTGTCATTCATTCTCCCCTCTAGCTGAAACATTTAGGTAGCCTGTGCAGAAAGAGTGCTCACGACTGTGATTTGGATGAGTACTGTACAGGAGAGTCGGTCTTCTGTCCTGAAGATGAGTATAAGATGAATGGACTCCCCTGCAATCATAATCAGGGCTACTGTTACAATGGACAATGTCCAACACAAAAGGAACACTGCAAGATGCTGTGGGGATCAGGTACTAGTCTCACTGGGCGAGATTACATGGCATTTTGGATGCTTTTTTATGCATTTACAAAAACTTTAACATAAAAGTCTTACAACTTATATACTTATACAACTTTTATATAGAAATTGATAAATAATTAATCAAATTAATTAATAAAAATTAATAGCTTGTATATGCTTAGATGCTGAGGTGGATGCTGACACCTGCTTTCACCATAATGTAATTGATGGAACCTCCAAGAGCATTGAGTAAGTGTAACTTAACTCTTCTTTGATGGATAAAGACTAAAAATAGTATTTTGTTCATTGCTTTCTAATGACACAATGGTATTCTAAATCCTATAGGCACAGTAAATGTGGGAAAATATACTGTTATGGGGGAAATGAATTCCCCATAACCATGAACAAATATGTACTAACTTTACCATCAAAAATCTGCTACATGGCTGTGGATCCCTCGCCCACAGAAGACTTAGGGATGGTTCCAGCAGGCTCCAAATGTGGCACTAATAAGGCAAGTAAATAATGTCCAGTATATTGCCTTACACAGAATACAAAGTGTACAAAACCTTTAGTTATTTTATTTTATTTTTTAAATGTTTTCCAATCAACAGGTGTGTTACACCAGCCTGTGTCAAGACATTAGTATATACGGCACTGAGAACTGCTCTGATAAATGCAACAATCATGGGGTGTGTGATTTCTTTTTCAGTTTTATATTATTTTAAAAACTTTTTTAGAAGAAAAACATTAATGCAATGTTTTTCATGCTGTGATACTGTGATGTTGTGAAAAGCCATATCGCTCAAATGTGCTAAAAGTCAGAAGAATATTTTAAAATATATTTATATTCCCTTTCATATTTGCTTTATAGACAGATCTTTTTGAAAGCATAAACACATGTAAACATATTACTGACTTACATTTTAAAGGTGTGTAACCATGAGAGGAAGTGTCACTGCGATCCAGGCTGGGCACCACCCCATTGTGATGTCCAACTCTCAGAACTTTCAAAAAGTAAACCAATTACATCCTTACCATAACTGTACAGTACTTCACGTAATTCAATTGTTGTCCATGCAAAACTAACTCTGTGCAATTTCAAATGTGTGATTTTGATTTACAGAAAGAAAAGCTGTGATAATAGGTGTGTCTGCATCTGTAGTCATCCTTGGACTGATCATTTTAATTGGAGCACTGGTGTGTCACAGGAACAAAATAACAGAATTTAGAAAGAAAAGGTAGGATCTGTTACCTAACTGTCAATAATGCACTTTCAATGTCTGTTTTCATTTCAGTAAAAATATTATACTATTAAAGAAGGACATTCTATTTTAAATTATCTTCTAAAAGGTCTTTGAAGGACATCCACACTTCCTCAGGACAGTGCAATCCGGCATTCCTACCAGGAAGTGCAAAGAACAGCCCCAGATGTGCAAAACCACGTATCAGTCAGCCAACTTTCCTTGACTCATCCACTACTCTGGCCTGCAAACCTCTCTATTCTCCGGCTACACCCTGGAGACCAGCACCATTGGTAAAATCATTCATTTAGCCCTGAAACGAGCTGTTCAATTTGTGCTTCACATTAAAAGTGCATTTTAGGATGAAGGAACTTCTGAATATATACTGAATTCCAATCACTTATTTCTCACTATGCACAGCCTCCAAAGGATGCACCACAAACTAGGAAAGAACAGGTAGTTAATCTTATCAAAAAATACTGTTTAATTATATGAATCTATTCATGACTAAAACTGTTTTTTAAAAATATATATAATATATGTCCATATTCAATTAGATTGTGAAACCCTCTGCCCCACCTCCTGGCATTTCCAGAAACATGTATCCTGCTCAGGTGAGTCCTAGAATATCTTGTTATACACTCCTGAAAACAAAGGTTCCTCAAAGAGCCTTTCAGTCTTTCTTAAACGAACTGTTCTTTTTCATAGTGTGAAGAACATTTTAATAATCTAAAGGATCTTTTTGCACTATAAAGAACCTTTTGTGCAGTGGAAAGATTCATGAATGTTAAAGGTTGTTTATGGAATCATAGATGCCAATAATAACCTTTAATCTTAAGATTGTGCACTACCGTTCAAATGTTTGATGTCAGATTTAAAAAAAAGAAATGAATACTTTTATAAAAGATTTCTATTTCAAATAAAAGATGTTCTTTTGAACTTTCTATTCATCAAAGAATCCTTAAATACTGTAAATGCATGCCAATTTCCACAAAAATATTAAGCAACAAAACAGTTTCTAACACTGATAAAAAGAAGAAATGTTTCTTTGGCACCAAATCAAAATATTTGAATGCTTTCTGAAGGATCATTTGACACTGAAGACTGGAGTAATGATGCTGAAAATTTAGCTTTGCCATCACAGGAATAAATTACATTTTTAAACATATTAAAAATAGAAAAAATTTATTTTACATTGTAATAATATTTCACCGTGTTACTGTTTTTGCTGTATTTTGATCAGATCAAATGTAGCCTCCGGTGAGCATAAGAGACTTCTTTCAAAAACATACAAAATAAGTTGACCCCAAACTTTTGAACGGTAGTGTATATATGATTAAATATAATTGTCAGTTCAATGTTGGTTGCTTTTAATGCCTTCAAGCTCATTGCAGAGGTGACATAAAACAGAGATTACTTTGTCTATGTGAGACTAAAGAGCATTGTGTCATGTCTAAATTTTGTTTCAGGAAAAAACTCCATCTAAGTCTCCAACTAAATCACCACCATCTAAACCACTTCCTCCATCAAGACCGTTACCGCCACTGGTGTCTAAACCTGTAAGAAGCTATTTTTTCATGACTGATTTAACAGAAAGCATCCAAGCCTACTAACATATTGTAAATACCACGCAATAATATTATCCCTTGTTTGTTTGAACTGATAGGTGACTAAGTCAAAACAGCCTCCAGTGCCTCCAGTGAAACCTACTGGGATGCAGCCAGTATTCACTCCACCTCGGGTACAATTTTACATTTAGCTGTTCACTTATAAACTATAAAAGCATTTTCATTTGTCTCAAAAACTGCTGATACTATTTTTTTCAAGCTGCTTGACAGTTCAGTTGTGTGAATAAATGTCAGTGTTTTTAAAGCTTTTTTACATTCACCGTAGGTAATCCAGAAAGTTGCACTAAAACCTCCTGCCAGGCCCAGATGATCTGGAACAGTATTAGTTACCATGAATCACTGGGAGTTTCAGAAGAAGAAGTCTAAACTGAAAAAAGCTCATCTTTCTTTGTGGTATTGATCTGAATAACAAGATGCAGTTAAAGATGGTAAAACAGAATAAAGCATTTGCACTCTAGGAATCGCCTTTGTTACACTTTTGGTACAACTTGTTTGTAATTTCTTTCCTTTATTGTACTTTGGTTGTCTTTGCTGTTTATTTATTTTATATTTTAATTTTAAAGAGTGTTATATGCAGCTGTTTACAGTCAGTTCAGTTTCTCCCTGTAAGTCTACATCACATTGCCTCTTAAGTGGGAAAGCAAAGAGTCTCTCATACATCATGTTCTTCAAAACACATTTTATGTATTTTTAATTATTTTTTCCATACTCTCTTGTTATTTTGCGTCCTGCGTTTGCAGGCTGGTGCCATTTCTCACACATAATCCGTCCTGGCTTTAGTGATTATCTTATGTTCAGACTTTGCCTTATTTATAAGTTTCTTACACTTTTTTTTGTGTGTGTGATCTTTAAGGTTTTTGCAATTAATGAATTTGTTTTTTGCCTATTTTTTTATTATTCAAACTTGCAATGATCTCAGCTGGTCTGATTTTACTTTTTAATGAGAGAATGTACTGTTTTTACATTTGTTTACTATAATAAAGTTTTTCTAATTTCTTTTTTTAATCCGTTTTAGTTTATTTCCATATTATTGTGAATCGCTTCTCACGTGTAACGACATGACCTACTGCGCCCTGTATTTTCGTTGCCTAGTAACGATTCAAACAATCATAATAATACGCGTTCCTCTGAGAATTACAGTTTCGGGCTTTAATCACGCAAACGCTTGTTTCAAATTATGGATGGGCCAAAACAATTAGACGAAGAAACTTTGCAATACCTCTACGCGTGGATAGACAAGATACCGCTCTCCAGAACCAAACGGAATATATCAAGAGATTTTAGCGACGGAGGTATATCCTTCAAGAAACGAATAAAACCAATAGCTAATTAACTATTCATGTTTGTTGACATCGCATTTGAACAATGACTAACGTTAGATAAAAATAATGAAATATTATTATATATTATCATCTAATTAACTGACATTTTCTCAGTTCAATATTGTCTGAGTATTTTAATGGTTTCCATAAGCAGTTATGGCTGCAGAAGTAGTGAAGCATTTCTTCCCTAAGCTGGTGGAGCTGCACAACTACACGCCCGCACATTCCACGCAACAGAAGCTGAGTAACTGGAGCACCCTGAACAGGCATGTATATTTATTTGTTCTCCACATAGACAGTAATGCAAACAGCGCAGTGCTTATCTGACCCCCGCGTGTCGCTTGCCACATTCCCCGGAGGATTGCAGGAATGTGACATTACACCTCAGCAATAACACTGGCTGGGTCTCCAAACCTAATGAGCTGCCTAACTAGACAGCATTCTTGGGCATCATATGTCGATCAGTGGGGGGAATGATGTAGAAAGAGCAGTTGCCAGTTTCCTTTCAGTTCGGTCACGTTCGACGTAGTCATACATACCGTGCTGTTATTGATAAAACAAGCCAATGCACATTGGCGTGCGAAAATTTGCATCTCGCGTTCCGCCCATAGGTTCCGCCCCGCAGCGCTGGTATAAACCATAGACTGTAAAAAATGGTATAAACACGGAAGCTGATGTTGGCATAGTGTAACAGCGCAGCGCTTCTGGGTTGTTTTGACGTCACTTTGTAGGACAACTCGGAAGCTAGCGGCGCATGGGTTCCCTCGATCGAAAAGCTATGCATTTTCCCCATAGACTTTTGGAAAATCGCAAAAAATAAGATCTGTGTTCAACAAAGAGTTGTGACCCTTACACGTTTTGCCTATCAAGATAATCTTTACAAGTTCATCCAAAATTTATACATTTTGAAGCCTAAATAAAGCCGTCAGATATTTTTAAGACACAATAAAGTTTAAAAAACCACAAGCAGGTTATAACTGGTGTGTTTTATGTCAAAACGTGTTTTAGATCAAAATGTGAAAACATTTAGTGGCTTTGTTAACCACAGACCTTATTTCAGGCGATTTAGCAAAAACCCATTAAAAAAACCCATAGACTTTAGGACGAGGGAACCGGAAGTGCTAAAATGCTAACTCACTTCCGCGTTTTGGCCTACAAAGTAACGTCATAACTTCGGCACTCAATTGGCCAGCATCACACGCATCACACACATGACCAGCGTCGGCCAATAGTGAGCCTACATTCTGACGTACAACGCAGAAGCGCTGCGCTGTTACACTACGTCAACAGCTTAGGAGAATGACATGGAAGAGAAGAGATGGTTAAATAAAGTCGTTATTTTAGGGGGGTTTTTGCGCACAAAAAATATTCTCGTGACATAAACTTGGAGTATTTTAACGATGTCTTTACTAACTTTTCTGGGCTGGCAGATATCAATTACCTTGCAGCCTATGAAGGAGTGAGCCAGCTCTCAGATTTCATCAAAAATATCTTAATTTGTGTTCCAAAGATGAATGAAAGTCTTACGGGTTTGGAACAACATGAGGGTGAGTAATAGGCTCTATGCACGATCGCTTCCGTGTTTTGTCTCAGCCCGCCCAGTTACATCCGGTGCTGCGTCTAGGGTTGCCAACTGTCCCGAATTAGCCGGGACGTCCCGATTTTTGGCCCTAATTAATTTGTCCCGATCGGGACCTCTCTTGTCCCGATTATTGAGTGCTACGCTGATCTGACTGATTCAACAGCAACATGACTGTAAATTAGTTCAAATCTCCTAGAATCTGCGCATGCGAGACAGAACATAGCCTACTGTATGTGCGTCAGCGCCAAACCGTGTAGCGTGGAGAGAGAGGGAGAGAGCGAGAGACCTTGCCATTGCCAAATACGTCAGCAGCGTTCGTGCATAGAGCCTATTACTGACAGGGAATTACATTTCCCAGGTTGGGCTCTTCGGCGACGCGGTGGAGAACTCCGCCCAACAGAAGCAGACGGAGATCCCTACGGCAATCCCAAATATGTATTCTTTCACGGTACGGTTTCCTGCGGCGAGCCCGTGTCTTTCCCTTGGCAGAACCTGCTCTGCCATCTCTGACTGGTGTTGTCTCCCCCCTGCTATAGGCTGGAGCCACCTCAGTGACATTCCATATGTTGTACTGCCCGGAAACGCCCAGTCCATATGTGCAACCTCCACATACCTCCCAACGGGCAGGATGTGGCTTCCGCAGTGTTATCCAAGTCTGCCTGAGTGGGTCATGCGGAACAGCAATGGACTTCCCTGGCCTAAGCCCTGTCCATCCCCGCCTCAATAAAGGCAGGGGGATCAGGAGGCTTTCGCTAGGCACTGGAAGGTGGCAGCATTAAGTGCCGTTTTAATTGGGATCCCAATCAGTACGGTACGTCCAACTACGTCGAACGTGACCGAACTGAAAGGGAACATCTCGGTTACATTTGTAACCCTCGTTCCCTGAAGGAGGGAACAGAGGCGTAGTCCCGTCGCCACCATTGCTGGACCACCGCTGACTCCGGGCTCCGCTCGGCTCCTCAGTGAAAAACAAATGGCGTATGCATCTGCTTCCGTGTTTATACCTGCACTGCAGGGCGGAGTGCGAGTTGCAAATCTTGCACGTCAATTTGCATTGGCTCGTTTGATCAATACTCGAAGATGACGGCCTCCCTAAACGTGATCCCAATCAATACGGTACGTCCAAGTACGTCTCCATTCCCTCCTACAGGCAACGAGGGTTACCTACGTAACCGAGACGTTTTACTACCAAGACATTCCTTATGTTTGTATAGAATTGAACAACACACGCCTGCATCATGTTTTCATTTCAGAAAAGTTTTCTCTAAGCTGAACTTTCAAATACCTGAGGACTTGCTGAAGAAAATTGTGGACAGCACAGCAGGCTACATTGAACCAGTCCTTTGCTCTCTAAAAGAGAAGATAGAGGAAAAGAGACCAGGAAAACAATTCGATAGTACACAGGTGAGTCTGTGTGAATTTGCATTGTACATTATATTTGCATCATTCATTATTCTGAATTGAAAAATGAGCAGTATGCTCATTGATTGAGCAGTATTTTAACCCTGTCTCATCCTTTTTCATAGGACTTGGAATATTACAGCACATCAAATGGACAGCTGAGACCAGGTAGATACTGTAAAACATGTTGCACAGAAATGGGACTATAGCTTTTCAAGTTTTATATGCTACAGTAAGGCAATGAAGGTCATTTTGAAGAGATATGCCATGAAGGTCATGGCTCAGGAGTAGGTGGGGGAGGCCCTGGCGAAGACCACCCGGGGCTGTGGGACGGGCGCATCGATACTGCAGTGTCAATATCTATCAATCTATTACCATTTTGTGATCCTATGGCCATCTCTCACTATGTTTTTTTCTGGGGTAGGTTGCTAGGACTTTCCCCAACCCTCCCCATGACATGGCTTGGTACTCACACACACACACACGGACACACACCTACGGCCAATTTGGCATGTTCAAGAAGTTTAAGAAGCTAAAGAAATCTTTAAGAAAGTGCACATGTTTTATTTTGTTGGTATTTTAGTTTAATTCATTTATATTTATGTTGTCATTTTTTATTATTTAATCACAATATTTTTAATCACAAAAAGTATCGATATCATATCAACTTAAAAAAAGTTTGGTATCGACCCATCCCTAGTGACTGGCTTTGAGTCTAGGTTCATTAAGACTGTTAATGAACTGTTTTATCAAACAGTCACTTCACAAATCAGTATGTTTTAGTCGTTTGTAAAATGTCCCCAAAAAATTTAAATTCTGTCATCATTTACTCACCTTCATGCCGTTCCAAACCCATAAGACTTTGGTTAATCTTCAAAAAGTATTGTGAAAATATATGATCACATTACCTATATTATGAACAGATTTAAATTATGCTTTTATTTACATCTAAACAATGATTGAAACTCATACATAGAGCACATCACATTTGGTAAGCATTAAACCTCAAACGTGTGTGTGATGCACAAGAACCAATAAGGTTTGTTTCAGCGCACACAAAATGACATCTATTCATCAAATAAAGTGATTGTGTTTCTTCACAAGACTTGGATTGAACAACTCGATTTATGAACTAGTTTTATGACGCATTTATGACCTTTTTGGATCGCCTAAATTTTGATTACCTGGACTTTTAAATGAGGGACAGAAATCTCTCAGGTTTCATTAAAAATATCTTAATTTGTGTTTTGAGTCTTATGGATTTGGAATGGCATGAGGGTGAGTAAATTACAGAATTGTTATTTTTGTGTGAACTATCCCTTTAAGCTCAAGAAGGACGACGAAACCATGTCTATACCTTTACAGAACATGACTCCCATAAATAAATGTGACGCAATGTGGTTTGACCTCAATCACCACCCACCTAAATGTGTTAGTGGAAGTCAGTGGCCAGTGTTCCCACCCATATCAACTGTTTGCTGTGAAGGGAGGACATGTGAACTGTAGACTTGTGTTTCCTGTCTCCGCTGGATATGAATTGTGATGATTATTTTTGATGCTAGTAAGAATGTAGTCTAATTCCACTGTTTAATTAGCTCATCTTTTGTCTAAACAGATCAAATCTGAACACATGGAAATGTGTCATCATTATGTTTTTAGGAACAGGTCAGTGTTCATAGATGGGCTGATTGTCACAATACTCAGAAAACTCAGCCCTTGCCTCAGTAACCAAACTACCAAGATTAGCAAATAAAGTGTCGCAAGTTCTAAGGAGTTTATTTATGCCCTTTTATGTGCAAAGAAGATGTGCAAAGACCTTTTTGAGTGGTCAAGTGTCTGAAGTTTTGTGTGCTCAGGCCTTCTGCTTAGTTCAACCTAAAATGACATTTCTGTCATCATTTACTCATCACCATGTCGTTCCAAACCTTTCTTCTGTGAAACATAAAATAAAATATTTGAAGAATACCACTGAAAAACCACTAAAATACAATATCTTCTATTGTGTTTCACAGAAATAAAGTCATACAGTTTTTTAAAGATATTTTAATTTATAAGAATCCACAGATAGAATATATATATATATATATATATATATATATATATATATATATATATATATATATATATATATATTAGATAAATATACAGGTGCTCCAGTTTCAAGTTTAGTTTGATAAACAGTTATGGAAACTTATTGTTTCCATATGTATGAGGATGGAATAAAAACAGTCAGCTGTGTTTAGAAATAGGCCAAATGCATTGCATGGTCTGTACTCTTAACATAACATGGAGAAGGGCCAGATCAACCCTCCATTTCCCACACCTCATCATCATGGCGTCTTAGTCATGACAACATCTGGTTTCAGGTCCTACTCCCTCTTTTCTTGATAGAAAAGGTTCTGCGTCCATCAGCTCCATTTACCAGATAGCCCTTATCACTTCCAACAGGCTCAACACACTTGGCTAAAAGCCCTTTTCATCCATAGCAAACTCAAGCCAACAGTAGACTATTGAGTCTATTATGAGACCTGAAAGGCTAGATTGTTTCTGATATATCACATTATCGAAGTGCAGACCTTTTCTTTTAAGTAAACGGGAGTCCTGTGCTTTTTACTTTTTTTTACTATGTTTATAAGGTGAAGCACAGCTGGTGTTGATGATTCAAAGCTTAAAGCCAAATAAAACTCTACTGCTCCGTTGTTACAGTCTGGTGCCCCGTCAATGTGTCTTTTTGACCTTATTGTGTTTAATGGGTTCAAATGGAGTCTAATTAGTTTAGCCTTCCTGGCTAAGCAATTCTCATGAGCTATGGGGTGTACCACTCATCTTGAGGAAATTGATGCAGGGTATCATGAGGATAAGGTCTTGGTGGCTGAATTTAGCCTGGAGGGATCCTGAAGCTGGTCTATGCCAAGACCCGGCACTTTAGTTTTAGGCTGTCGCCTATATTTGTACATCAGGACATGTTTACCATGTTTTTGTTAGTTTCAAAACCAAACATGTTTAAATAAAAAAAAAAGTATTGTTTCTTTTTAATATCACCTTATTCCTTTCTCTGTTTTCTTACATTTCACATTACAGTGAATCATATGATGGTTTTTGAGAACACTCCAGCCACCAATCCAACCACTGTGATGAAAACAGGCAAAGTCAGGTATTGAGTGATGAGATTTTGTTTAAATAGAACTTTCTGAGGTCTTTGATGTAGGCCTGTGAAAAAAGATATACATTTATAATGGACTTGTTGTAAATCTTGCCTAGTGCTGCTGCAGCCTTGGGATCAAATGCGGATCCATCTGTCCGTTTACTCTTGGAGAAAAAGGAGCAAGAAATTTTGACTTTACAGGAGACTGTTGAGGTAAGGTTTTGATGTTAAAATAACAACAATAACAAAATCCAACTTGATATGCAGAGATTTCCCATATAGTGTAAACACTGTTGATCTCTGGCACTTTCAGCATTGCTTTGTTTGTCTGAGATTAGACATGTTTGCTCAACCAAAGGCATGAATATTAGGGTTTAGCTGCCTGTTTGTCTGCTGACCAAATATGGGGGGAAGGTTTAGGAAACCTGCATCGAAACAGTCATTATGTTTGCAATTTCGTTTTGTGCCACTAGTGCAGAAACCATACTCTGCACCTTCAGCAATCAATGAAAATTAAAATCTATTTACAAAATGCATGTCATTGATTTTATTGTAAATGATTCATCCATTTATACATTTTATTTATTTATTTATTTATTTATTTATTTTAACATCGTAATTTTCAAATAAAAAATAACGCATCTCAATCTTCCAGTGAAATGACAAACTTTATCAATCATTTAGTCTTAAATCCAATGCCCACATTTCAAAATTCAATCAACAACCAAGTCACCAGCCTACATTTTATCATTTTCTGATAATCTGTTACACTTGGATGTACGTCCCAATACAGAACCAAAAAAATCTATCAATACTTCTGTTTCAACACAAATTTAATGTGCATAATTCATTTTAAAGGGGTCCTATTCTGCTTTTTCACTTTTTCAACTTTAGTTAGTCTGTAATGTTGCTGCTTGAGCATAAAAAAGATTTGCCAGGTTACAAAGCTCCACTCCAAAGGGAGATATTTTATTTAACAGAATCCACTTTCCAAGAACTACAACGAACGATTCGTTTGGACTAAAACACGATTTTTACGGATCTTATGAAGTCACAATGTTACTCATTTAAATAATCCCTGCCCACGGAATACGCAAAAAAAGGTGCGAGGCCTGGCTGAGCTGCACTAGAGAAGACAGTTCCTAAGGCTGACAAACTTGTAGTTAAAATTTCTATTAAACACTGTTTCTGAACATTATAACCCCAACTGAGGACAGCTTCTAGAGACTAAGAGAAAACAATGCAGGCTACGCACAAAAGCTTCTCCTGAAATGGAGCAGTTTTCACTTTGTCGGGACAATCTGTTGTTTGTGGATCACAACTTGTAAGTATGTCTTATTATTTCTAGTTGCATTTTCTATTAACAGTTCCAATTTTAAGTTTTATGTTGGTATTACGATGTAAACAAAGGGCAAAGCTTTGCCTCAGCTCGCCTGCTTGCTGTTATGGTAAGGGGCGTGACATTTCCCGAACGCGTGCTTCTCCGCTAAGCGGTGCCAACACACTAGGACACATTTAGTATTTCAGAATAATATGTTTTTTGAACAATCAAGCATGAAAGCATAGTACACCCCAAAAACAAAATCAAGACTTCGTAAAAGGGCATAATAGGACCCCTTTAAATCTTTATTTCTTGCATGAGACCAACAGATATTCTTTAAAATTTTTAAATCTTATGACTTGCAAATCCCAAAACCTAACTAACAAGTTAGTTTCAGCACCTTTAGCATACAATGCCAGCTGGTGAGAGATGCTTGCGTCGCAAAAGGAAATTTGTCCTTCCTGTGCTGTTCTCCCTGCATTTGGTCAAGGGCTGCAGGTCACATGTACACCGACATGTTTCCTGTCACTGTTGTGGTAAGAGATTGCAAGATTGTTAAATGAGTCACTGTGAGTTCCGCAGATGTGATATTTGTCATCTGACAATAAGTAAGACAATTTTTTAGGTTTTCAGCAAAACATTCAACTGCTTGAAGTTTGATAATTGCAACTGTTTGCATTTCAATTGAAAGAAAAAGAAATTCAGTAACTGTCCACCTTATGTCCACCTTTTATCAACTTCTGCAGTCATTTGAATAGTCATCAGTTTATATGGATGGAAATGACACTACATAATGAACTACATAATCTGTAAACACTGTTTGCAGATATCCTACAACCCTTGTTGAATATCACTTAAATGTTCTACTTTCCTCCAGATTTTACAGATTAAAGTAAACCGATTGGAGAACCTTGTGCATCTTAAGGACCTACGCATTAAGGACTTGACAAAGCACTAAGTGCAATATAAGGCACACAACTCATGATTTCATTACATTGCCACCATGAGGAAGTGCATACTATATGCATACTCAACACTCCTAGTAAACTTATAAAAAGCTGCGTGTTGTCCATGTGAAATTATCTTTTTTCCATACCTGTTCCTAACCTGTGATTGTTAGCAAACAGAAACACTGATGGCAATTTCTTTAACTTACATATTGCATTAGCACCAGCAGTGACCATCTTCAGCAGTTTATGCTTCTGCATATGAATGATTCACCAGTATCAGTATACTTTTTATTTTTACGATTTACGTTGTATTTTTTCACTATTTTTTCTTTTTTTCACTAAATATTTAAGAACAGACCTCCATCACCATTGATCGTGATAATCTTACAAAGCTTACTCTCAACAGTAAATGCAATGATAGTGGTTTTATTTTATGTGGAATTATTGAACATTATATTTAGTATATATAATTATTTTAATGTTATAATTGTGATTTTCCATAGTATACCCAGTTGAATTATTATCTTTTTTTTTGCTTCCTAAATTTGGTTTTACTGTATTTTGGAATTTTTCTTATCATTTTACATTGTTTGTAAGTCACCTGACTTCACAGTATTATTAGTCGTCATGTCATAAGACCGGTCTACCATGTTTGTGGCTGATGTTAGATGTCGAAAGTAAAGTATTTGTAATGTTGATTATCGCGTTATTTTACATGCATCTGCTTATGTAAAATACATCTTGTTTCTGCTTTTTTTTCCACCTGTGTTTTGATCAGGAGATTCTGTACTCTTTCAGAAGACGTGTAATATCGCTTCCCTACCATATAACAGGGAAAACACGGAAAGTCAGAAAATTCTGTCAATGGCAGGGAAGCGTTTTCTTATAAATTAAGTCAATGGCGGGGAAAGAGTTAAGCACTTTGCACAGACACTAAAATATCCAATGACATTTACAAGAAGTAAAAGTATTTTTATCAAGTTTCACTTCTCCTTTCTTTAAGAATATCCTCGTTTGACACGTGGGCTGCAGGAAAACATTGATTCTTAACTTATATATAGGCCCTATATGTTTATTATTATTATTATTGACAATGGATTCGTAAAGTGGCATTATAGGCTGTGAAGAAGGCTCGTCACCATGCCACAGTTGCCCATACAGGTGTTAGCAGTCATTGATCTACTTCCCTCCATGAGTCTATCCAGTGAGTGCAAAGGTATCAACACATCACATTCTGTTTCCCTGGGGGGCCATCAACATTCAACAGCTCCCTCTTTTCACCACAGGCTATTCTTTATCATACAGTTATCAGATCATGGGAGACCTGTAATTTGGGGGGTTTCCTTCAACAATGTAGATTTGGCTCCAGCAGAGTTGCAGGCACTCATCCTCTCTCTGCTCTTTTTGGCTCCAGGAGTTCACAAAATTCTTTTGAAACAGTATTTGCAATCACTTTGTGTCTCTCTCATGAGGCATGTGTTTATACTAACATCAACCCCATGTGGAAACCTCAGACCAAATGTAAACAGTTCTGCAGCAAAGTTGAGAGTGGAAAAAAGCTTTATGGCTTTATGTAAGAGATTATTATGAATTACAAATACTTTCTTATAATTGAGTGAATATTGCTGGATATATCCTGAAAAAGATATGTTACATATAAGAAGCTGATACTCTGTGCCATAAAGTTCTCAGAGCTCCCTGGTGACTCAAGCTGAGCTCTCAGAGAGTGACCGGCGGAATTTGGGGGTTGGATCTTTGGGTGGTAAAGCAGCATTAAAGCTCTCTGAGTCACACTGAATTACAGTCAAATGCATGCCTGAGCCCCTCAGCAAACGGTATATGAAGACAGCACACTGTGAGAACGTCTGGAACGGGAGTTGTTCTCATAAAGAGAGAATGAGAGTGATACTCTCTCTAGTCTATTACGTCTCATTTTTAAGACCATTTACAAAAGGACAGAGTATAAAAGAGTCCAATCCAATAGAGGAAAAGTAAAATACTGCAAATACTCCCCTTCAGAGCGCTTTTCCAGGAGTGTTCAAATTTAAGAGCTTACTCTTCCACTAGCTTTTTTTTTTGGTCAGTTTCAAGTGAGCATGTTTAGTGTTTGCACTTCAGAGAATCCTGTCTTCAAATGTTTAATTGTCATCATGTTTTTTTTCACAACTAGTTTTAGAATCTGTCAGGTTTGGAAATGTATGTTTTTCCAGGCAATTATAATTCTGAATATTCCATGTTCAGTACATGTTGGGCTCAATCGACAGCAACTGTGGCATTTTTGTGATTACCACAAAAATGTAATCTTTGTAACCTTTTCTTTAACCCTTTGATGCGCAAGCTATGCTCCTTCTAATGCACAACATGGGTCTAAAAAGACCCGTATTCATTTCCTATGTTATTTCATGCATGGCTTGGCATTTTTTTGTTTCACCTTTTGAAATCACTTTATTTGAGCATTTAATATTTCATGATCTATAAAATTTCATGAATTATGAATATTCAAAATATCTTGTTTTCAATTATCACAAATTCATATTTGAATGTTTCCTAGGTTTTGTGTTAATACATCAAGTTTTACACACATGGGTCTAAAATGACCCATCTATGCAAGCGTGATAAAACAAAAGAATAAAGAAAACTTTTTGTTAAAATAACCAATGTCACAGTTGTTTAGATCAACACATTTACTGTAACACTTGAAATATGTTTATTGGCCACTTTGTCATACATAACACACATATAGCCTAACCGATAACACTGAAATTGAACTGTGCAACTGTAGGGGGATCTCCCCACCACCAATGTGCAGCATCCACCCGGATGATGCGACCGCAGCCATAGTGCACCAGAACGCCACCACACGCCGGCTTATGTGACCGATAGCATTGATTTATGACCACAAATAAAAATTAATATGGAGGTACAAGGTTTCTGCCCAACAGCGACAATATATACTTGTATATATAACTTTCTATTGCAACTTTTATTTTGTTGACCTAGCTAACATTAGATAAAATAGAATATGTCGACCGCAAGCTAGCTAATAGTATTGGACATGTTTCTCTTTTGCACTAGTAATGGGTTTCAAGGTCAAGGTAACCTTGGCCTAAACGTTCAAATATTAGCCTATATCTAGATGTCTTTCACAAAATATCAAATATTTTCTGTGACATAAAATGTATTAAATAAAACGTACATGCATGAAATATACAAAAGCAGCCGTGTTGAATTGTGAAATGTGTGGCAGGTGAATAGTTTTCTGCAGTAAATATATTTATTTATACTATTTATACATATCAAAGGTTCCTATATGGGTCATTTTTGACCCATGTGTGTAAAATTGATGTAGAAATACAAAAACCGTGTTTGTTTATAAAGTAAGAAAGGAAAAATAAACATAATGATTTGTGGAAATCAAAAACAAGATATTTAATGAATACCTGGATTAATAAATGATAAAATACATTTCTTTCAAATATTCAGCAAAGAAACATGAATATGGGTCATTTTAGACCCATGTTGCACATTAGAAGGGTAGTGACACAAAAACGATTTTTATTCGAAAAGTAAGAAAGGAAAAATTTAAATAAGGATTTGTAATGATCTAAAACAAGTTAATTGAGGAATACCTGGAATACTGAATGATGAAATTAATTTCTTGCAAAGATATAGAAAATGAAAACTCAGTCGGGTCTATTTGACCCATGTTGTGCATCAAAGGGTTAAAAAAAAAAAAAAAAAACCCGGAAAATCCAAGTTATGGTGAGACAATGTAAGTAATCAGTTTGCAGAGTTAAAAGGCATAAATGTGAAGGTTATAATTGTATAAAAGCACATAAATTCTTCCCTTAAAACTCAAGTGTTATTTGAGATTTAAGGTTTTTTCAATCAACGTTTTTGCAGAATTACAGGGTTTAGGCCATTATGTTATCTTATCATGGCAAAGTAGTTTTAAAACTAGATATGACTTTATGCAAAAAAGTTCGTAAGTGAAAACTAAAATCATGTTAACAGGCATATTGTTTATTGTTATATAGCTATAGAAACAGTGAGTATTTTAACGTTTCCATTCACTTCTATGGTTTGCCTCTCTTTAGCCCAGATTTTTTAGGTTATAAGGAACAAATCAAAAATTATTTTTTGTGGTAATTAAAATGATGCTGTCTATTGAGCTCAGAATATTAATTAGAGCAATGATAATGGTAGGCCTGCAATCCTTTTACTGAAAGTTCCTGTAATTCTTGAACTGAAAGTCTTCACCACTGTGCTGTATAGGGTTGAACCGCCGAGACATTCAACCCAAGCATTCATTATGACAATTTATCAACATTTGGAAGGTTAAGATCATCAGGTAAATTAAAGGAGTGTAAAATGACATGACAATTGTGTTGTTTTGTTTTGCACACAGTGAAAACAAACAAAACTCAAGGCGTGACACTGCATAGTAAATTCATAAAAATCTGATGGTACAGTTCCAGTGACAGAGTTCAGATGTAAGGGATAGCCTTGATTCCTATCCCAGTCATCTGTTTCTGTTCAGACTAAGACATGACTGTCTGAAGCGTTTCTTTCTTTTATGTTGTTTAAATGACTCTTGGAAGATTAATGAGGGAGGATTTTGAATTGTAATGAAAACCACATGGTAATCAAACTGACTGAAAAACATTTAAAACATTCTGTAAATAAAAATGTCTTTTTATACCAGGTAATTGGCATGTTTATTGTGGTTTCCTCCTATCACTTCTTTTCTCATAGGATGACTGAAGATGGGAAAGAGATCCACAAACATAGTTTGGGATTGATTTTTTTGCATGGATGTTTCCTTAATGTCCCTGCTGTATATAACTGCAGATGTTCACATAACAGAATCTGTGTGCTCTGTTGAACTTTTTGTCTGTGTAATCTGGAAACAAGCTGTCTGCTGTCATCAGAGACATGATCCATCAATGAAGATCTATTAGTCTAAATGAGATACATCCTGGCCAACACTATAAAGACAAATACTTTACTGATTACTGGTCATGGCAATTGCAGGATTGAAAATGGCTTAATTTAAGTTTCATTAAACTTAAAAGCCTTTAAAATTTTGCAAATCTTGAACTGAACCAGTTCAGGAGTTAACTGATGACAAGTATGGGAAAATTCTTGGAGTGTAAAACAGAGTCAGCGATAAACTCCAATTTCAGACAGGTGTTATCAGGGAGAGATGCTAACCCTATGACACACCCAGGGGTAATATGAGACCTCAAAGCATTGCTTTCAAATCTTAAAAACAGACCTGCACTGAGTCAGGATGATTAAGTGGATGTGCAAGCAGCAAGATAACTGTTCTTCCCTTGCCAAGATAAGAGAACCACACACATAATGCACATTAACATTCGCCAAAACGCTAGATAGAAGCAAAAAACCACACACAAATGGGTTTTTATGTTTTATGGGAGCAATTCATAAACGTTATGATTTGCAAACTGTATATTCTATCCTTAACCATCACAGAAAACTTTCTCCAATTTTACAATTTCAACAAACAAACAAACAAAAAAAAACAGTATTATTTATAAGCTGTTTTCCTCATGTGGACTTTAGATTTCATATATTGCCCTCATGGGGACATTTTGTCCCCATAATGTAGAGTACTGACCTGAACCACACACTATACTGTTCGGGGCCATGTTTTTGAAAGGTTTCTTATGCTCATGCACCAAGGCTGATTTATTTGAGCAGGAATACAGTGAAACTATAATATTGTAAAATATTATTACAATATAAAATAACTGTTTTCCATTTTAATGTTTTTTAAAGTGTAATTTATTCCTGTGATGGCTGTGAAAGCTTAGTCATTACTCCAGTCTTAAGTGTAACATGATCCTTCTGAAGTCATTCTATTAGCTATTTTGAGAAACACTCCTGATTCATATAACTTGAACTGTAATGGGATTGTATTGCTTTTCTTATGATGGATCCTAGGCCTTTAACTTTTTTTAAATAAAATAACAAAAAATATTGAATAAAAAAACAAAAATGTTTTTTGATTTCATGCTTTGTTTTATAATGAGGAGGTCGTTTTAAGCCTTGAAACTTGTTTTAATGTTCTTATGCCAAATGTTTGAGTAAAATTAGTTTTTTCATGTCATAACTCCTATAAGAAAAATCTTACTGACCCCAAACTTTGGAACGTTAGTGTGTGTGTATAATGCAAAATTCTGTTTCACAACCAGTATAGCCTAAGTGCTATATCTATTCTGTTAAACTACAACATCATGTGTCACAAAATCAGATTTGGGCATGTAGAAATCCCCTTAGATTGGCCTCCATTATTGTGCTAATCAGAGCTGGTTGAGAGAAGCCAGGCGTGTCATCTATCATGTCCTTACAGAAGCTGCCCCATGACTCCCTGGTAAATTACGGCAGCGCTTCAGGGGACGGAGCAGGGCGATGAGCCAGACTGAACACAGAACACAATTGTTCAGGCTGTTGCCAGTAATTCATAAATTTCATCATGGTTGTCATAGGAACATGACATGGGAACATGACGTCTCTTACGCCAGAGTCCCTCCAACCAACTACAAAACCTGGGCACTGCCCTTCCTGCAATGGTTGTAGGCAGGCCACAGATTTGCCACTAGTTCTACAGAACCATTAAAATAAAATCTACTAGCATGTGTCCTGCTTGGATGATGGCTTTTCTTTGAAGATAAAAAATATATATATATTTGTGGATATTTCTTGTTCTAACAGTGCACATGTTGCTTTTGTCATTCCATGTCAATGAACAACGGAAAGAAAAGTTGGCCACCATCCATGTGCTGAGTAAGACTGTGCAAGTGATGTATCCTGTATAAGTCATTTGGGAGTCATTAAAATCTTGCTCTCCAGTGAACTTGTTTTAACATGACTTCAGGGTCAGTACTGTTTAGTTAATAAAAATGTCTTTAAATCAATTAAGGCTTAAGGATTATTAATGGAATCTGCAATAAAATTTGGCCTGACAAAACAACCACAACATAAGACTGTTGGGCTGCATCCGAAATCGCATACTTTCCTACTATATAGTAGGCGAAAAACAGTATGACAAAAAAAAAGTATGTCCGAACTCACAGTAGGCCTACACATAAAAGAGTAGGCGAAAAGTACCCGGATAACCTACTTCCTGGCGAGATTCTTTAGAGTGCAATGTGCATACGTCCGATGTCACTTTACTATCCCAGGGCCACGGGATAGGATTTGTGAATGGCAGTGACGCGACCAAAGTCCCTTTCAAGGACGCGATGTATGGATGTAACTGACGCTGGTGGGTCACGTGATGAGGGCAACATGGCAAAAGTATTACTTCCTGATTACATTCATACTACTACACACATTCATACTATAACATTCTTTTTTTTTTAGCTGACGTGAAGTAATTTCTTATTCAAAATAAGTATCTACTCAAGACAATATGCGATTTTTGACGCGGTCTTGGTCTCTTCACCTCAACTATAGTCTAGGTGGAGCCACTTCCTTTATATCATTGAGTAGTGCAGGAAGGAAATATGTGGTGCACCCTGGACACAGTGCATTTTTAACAAGCACATTTTAACTTAACATACAGATTCATCTTCTAAATGAGACACTTTAATTAAAATTCATTTTCATCCAATCTAAAAGTCTAAATGCAAAAATTCTAATTTCACACTTATTCACCATCAGGAACAGGAAACATTCTCTATGTCTGGGGATTGAGTCAGTCTGGGGACCTTATCTAAATGGTTGATATTTACTCAGGAGGTCCTGGGGGAGCTCAAACTTCTGTTCTCTCTTTAAGGTCAGCTGGAGACAGACCTTTTTGCCCACTTCCTTGAGTGACTAGTTCCTTCCTTTGTCCTTCTTTTACTCATGCACTGTTAGTAAGTCTGAGCCCTGCATCAAAAAGTTCAAACCGGCTCATTTGTTACTTGGAGAAGACACCGTGACATTTCCTGTATTTGGACAAATACCACTGACTGAGACATTCTCGGTTTATTTGCTAAGCAAACACAAAAATATGGGCCATAACTGCCTGTTGTGATTGTTCATCAAGTGGTTGAGTTATTTTTAAGATAACAACTGTATCAGATTATTCCCAAAACAGAGTTAGAAAAACATGAAAAAGTTTTTTTTTTTTTTTAGTTTTTTTGTCATTTAGGTTACACACCTAACTCTACATATCAGATAAATACCATATGAAACTTCAACTTGTAACTCGCTCTGCTGTATAAATGGGTGAACAATATCCCAAAGACATGCATTAGGCTAGTAGCAACCAGAGTACCATCTGAAGACCAGAATATTAGAGTGAGAGATCTTTTCACTTAAGCAACCATGAAACACCTTGACGTCACAGTGGCAAGATTTGCATGCACTTACATTTTTAGAATTAAGTTCTTTCATACGCAATAGCTACTTCCTTTTCCTCTATTTCTCTGAAACCATATCCAGCTCATATTAAAAGCACTACATTCATGACACAATCTATGAAATTAACCCTTTGCAAAACACTTCCTTAATAGGACATGATGTACTCTTCCTTAATGTGGAAGGCAAGAATATGAACACATAATTGCAACACCAAGAAAAGTCATTTCATGGTATCAAAATAGGTTTTATTTCACAGAATTAAACATTGTCAAAATTTTATAAATTTTGCATATAAATGTTTTAAAATTAGGAGCTTAAATTATGCTGACATAAAAAAAGTGACATTCACAGAGTGGGTTTTATTCCAGGGCAGTCAAGTTCTGTCCTCTCATTTAATCAACCATAAGAATCACAGGGATCATATGGACAGAAAAATCACTTGAGACAATTAATCTTACACCTTGAAGGAAAACATTGAATGAAAAGTCAATTTAAGCAGAAAATGGGAGAACCCACTGTTTGAAGAAGGAACATTCAAACTAAACATATTGAATGTTTGTCTCTTTAATCGATAAGTATGAAGAGGATGGAAAAACCGATGTGCTGTGTGACAGATTCACACAAACAACATGACCCTACATCTGTTTGTGAAGTGGTCAGAGTTTAAATGTAAGATACCAAAAAAGCTGGTCATTCAAGTTAGCACACAGGTCTCTTTTCCTGAGAGATAGCACTAGTAGACACTATTCAAAACCTAGTTTGGATGGTTTGATTTAATGAATTGTTAATATTGGCATATGAAAACAACTTAGGCAGACTTTTAAGAGAAGCATAGCCACGTCTTTTGGAGTCATTTAACTCTCTGTTGTCCAGTCTTTAGATTCCTGAAGATCACTGGCTTCCTCTAGTGGTGAAATTCTGATGAAGCTTTTGAGGCTTCAGGGCAACTCCAGTGAAAAACATCACATGGCTCCCAAAATGCATTAATATGTTGTTACAATGTCTGATCATTAATGCATTTATCCACCATAATGCTAAATTTCGTTGATAGTGCCTAATAATACTGCAGCCCTTATTGTAACTGAATTCCCTTTGAAATAAACTCCTTCCAGTAATGACAAAACGAGCAAGCTCAACTAAAGGCATAAAGGCATTTTTCTGTCATAAAGGAACCGACTATAACCAAACAGCTGTTCATCTCATAGCTTTTCAAAGACAGGAGCCCCGGAACAAAACATTAACATCTTATGAAACTTTATGAAACCCATGCTCGGTGTCACCATTTCTATAAACCAACAATTCAACATCATCCACAGAGCACCCACAAACTAACAAGCTACACAATACTATACCAAACCCACTATTTCTGACATTACATGAAATTTAATTCACACCAAGTATTCAGGTCTCAAGGTCGTAGAAAAAGTCTTCATAAAGATCAACAAAAATCAAGCAGGGATAATTTTAAAACAAGATTGATCTTACATTTACATGTAAAAACCACTGATCTCTGCAGCTGTGGCTGAACTAAATTAAGATTTTAACTATAACGAATTTAGTGACAATGAAAATGAGAAATTTCCAAAGGGGTAGATCACCAAAAATGTTTTACATTCTGTTATTTACTCATCCTCACGTCATCCTAAACCAGTTGGACTTTATTTCTTATTATTTGTTCTGCGGAAAACACAAAAGAAAGATAGTTTAAAACTGTTTTTGTCCATACAATGAAAGTCAATGGGGTCCAAGTATGGTACAATATTGGACCTCAACAAAATTCAGTGTATGGACAAAAAAAGAAGAAAGAAAAACACCTCTTATTATTATTTTCATTTTTTAAATATCCTTGTTCTACATAAGATGATCTTACAAGTTTGGCACGATGTGAGGATGAACAAAGGATGACAGAATATAAATTTTAGAGTTAAGTATCCCTCAAATATATATTAAAGAAAAGATGACAAATGTTGGCTACAAAATGAGTCTCATCATATTGTAGCTAATAAAGCCACTGTCTTTGATCTCAATTAGTGTGAAGCCTTATAATTCCAGTTATGTTAAAGACAACACATAAAAGTAAACCTCGAAATGCACATACTAGTTGCATCTGCATCTAAAAAATAATTAGCATGGATTTGTAAAAGAGAATCCAAGGTTGAGAGCAAAAAAAGGGAAAAAGCATGCTGATGTGAGTTAGGGACATTGGAGGGATTTTTTTTATATTTGAATCGCAACAATTCAACCTGGCAATATTCAGTAGCACAGTTCTTAGACATTACTTTTTAGTTTTGAAATGACTGCTGGAAAACCACAGGCTCTGTGTGACAGTCTCTTCAGCTTACTGACTCACAGCACAGCTAGTCAAGCACCCAACCCCACTGTAGTAGAAGAGTGAAAAGCATCCATGTCAGCATGCCTCATAAGCACCCATGCCACAGACAGAGAGAGAGAGAGAGAGAGAGAGAGAGAGAGAGAGAGAGAGAGAGAGAGAGAGAGAGAGAGAGAGAGAGAGAGAGAGAGAGAGAGAGAGAGAGAGAGAGAGAGAGAGAGAGAGAGAGAGAGAGAGAGAGAGAGAGAGAGAGAGAGAGAGAGAGAGAAATTGCAGAGGAAGAGGGGGTGGACAGCTCTCAGGCCCCTCAATGGCCTTCTGTGGCTTTGGGCTTGGACGCTTTCTTAAGACTCTCTTTCATACTCAAGGACTCCAGCTGCTCCATCAAATCTGCCGCACCCTGGCCCACGGCTGGACGGGAGGCACTGTTGTCTACAAACATGTTTGGGATTTCCTGACCGAAGTAGATCTTGCTGTTTGCGGCTATGGCCTGATATTTCATCAGTTCCAGGTACTCTGGTGTAAGCTTCAGCTGTGGAGGAGGGAGACAGTAGTCTGATAAATGATCTGAGCATTTCCTGTGGAATCAACTATACTGAAGGAATGCGTGAATGTGCCTCCATGTGTTCAGAGTGGACACTAGCACCAAAATGAAATCAGCTACAGCCTCCTACATGTGCTCTCTTAATATAGCTAGTTGAAGGATATTTTAGCTTTGTATAAGCTGAAAAAGAGTGAAATTCCTTCACACAATCTACTTTATTAAGTCTTTTTGCTTTCTCGTTGATGTAATTAACAGATAAGATCACTAATCTAACTAACTCACTAAAAGTGAACAAACTTACTGTTACACCAATCTGTGATTTAAACCAACATGTTAAAGGGTAACACTTTACAATAAGGTAAACTAACAGAGCAATTCATTTTTACAACATTTATTCATTTCTGGTAATGTTAGTTAATAAAAATATAGTTGTTCATTGTTTTTTAATGTTAATACACAGTGCATTAACTAATGTTATTACACGGCTCTGTTGAATACTTGACTCTATTCCCCCGATAACAACCGCTAAAAACTGATAACGCAGGCTCATCCGGGTTACTGTCACTGAAGACGGCGCTTTACACTTACTGGGAAAGTTTTTTTCTCGTGGAAGTTTTACGTTTGGTGAGCTATTAAAATATTAAAACTCAAATCAATATTTTGTATACAGGTATTTAATTATGTCATGCGGTATCATGGACTCACTCTCTCGTTTCATACAAACGCAGCTGTAATAAAAATAAGATAATGATTTTAAATGAGTTTTATCTCAAATCAATATATCTTATCCCGTTAGTTATCTATGTGAAACACTGTGAATAAGAGGTATGACCGTACCGAATCTCTTAAATGTCTGTCTAGTTTGAATCTTGTTAAAGCTGCAGTCCATAGTTTTTCCCCTCTGTTACCATCTGTTCGAAATCTGCAATTGACCGTTCGCAGGCCCCTCCCACAAAACGGCCATTGTTTAATCACACATCATAGCAACCGTTACTATGTGAGCAGGTCCGTCAAACATTGACTCAAAGCAAGATGGTGAAGCGGTGCGCCTACGGCGTTTGTAAATCGGACACTAGGTATTCCTAAAGAGATTGTCTGGAGGAGTTGTGTTCTTTCCGTTTCCAAAGCCAAAAACACAACGTGAGCGGTGCCTACAATCAGAGACTATTTATATAGAGACATGCCACTTCATCAATCCTTAATACAACTATATAGGGAAAACCCGTAACGCCAAAGATGGCGGTTGTATGCACATGTCCCGCCCCTCCCGCTGGAAAGCCAATCGTCTGCTTTTAACAGTCAAGCCGGGAAACATTTAAGCCTATCGTCTGGTTCCACTGACGCATGCGCACAGTTGAGGTTTGCGACAGCGCATAATACGTTACTGTTTGAAAAGGCGGCAGATTTGATATGCAGTGTATGTGTGAGTTGTGTAATATCAGACATCAGAAGTCTCCCGCAGATTGATAGCGGCTCCCTGATGCCCGCAAATTAGTTCAAATCTCCCGGAATCTAGAGCGAGCGAGCGAGCAAGAGCTCGCACATACGTACTGTGCTTCAAACTGTGTAGCGCGCGCACGACCGAGGGAGAGAACCCTTGCGCATGCGTAGTAAAAGTACAACCTGTGGAGAAAAAGGCGCTTTAAACCTTACTTTGGGGCAAAGTCATCAAACTTTTTCAGCGATTTTTATCATATTTTACTGCTGTTTCTATATGCAGTTTTTATGTCTCGGTGACCAGTGAAACTGCAGTTCTGACTCTCTGCCCATTCATTTAGATAGGAGCCTGGTCTTGTTAGTCCGAAATAGCTGCCCGGAGGCGTTGCCAAGATGGCGGCCGAGTGGCATGACTTGCCTAAAAGGACTTTGCTACAATGGATAAAACAGTGTGGACGGCCCCACTCCCAGTTACATGTGTCGAACATGCTTAACTCGCGTGCAGCGTGCGTGACTCTGAGACACTGAATAGTCAAAGAAACATGGAGAAAGCAGATCAAGAGGATCCACAAAGAAATTACGTTTTCTAAAGGGTTGTTGTTAACATGATATTCTCGGGGAAAATGAGCAGCAGTCAACAGTGCAGCACCCGTAGCTACAGTTTAGGCTCACAACGGGGAAAGCATGAAGCTTACTTGACAACTTCAGTTCATATATCAATATCGTAACGAATAGAAATAACCTATAATAATTTGAGGTTATCTGCATCTTTCCGTCTCTTATGTGTAGTTACTTTTTAAACACGAAAATGGCATTCAGCATGACACGCAAGCGGTTGCCGTGGTAATGAACAACCTGCTTCTGCTTGTATAATCCTGTATCTGAGGCAAAATGACTAAATATGCAGCGCGAGTTATATATTTCTAACTCCAAACAATTAGCCACTGAACCAGCTTATAAAATCTTCTTCAAGGCTGTGCTGGTTGCATTTGAAGTACAGGTCATGGGGTTTCTCAGATTTAGCTTGAGACCGGTATAAGCATTAGCCTCGAGTCGATAGTAGTCGTGTCTCCTTCATTGCGTATTTTTATATTTTGAATATATCCCTCCACTGCATACTGTAACCCATTTTGCCTCGATCTGGAGGATATCGCTGAGGTATTGCTCCAAAAAAGGTCACTGACACGCACAGGTAGTCCGAAGCAGTATTCAAATTAAATGACCCATCATACCACTGATCAGCTCTACCAAACTTGGATGTCTTTTCCAGTAATAAACAAACACTGTTAAGTTGTTTTGATTGATGCTTTGATACAATCTGTATTGTGAAAAGCACTATATAAATATATTTGACTTGACTTGACAGGTAAAGTTAACTTATACCTCTTCCCGTCATGGGAATCTGTCGCGCTGGTCGTGTTTGACCATTTGTTTGACGGGCGTAGTAACAATAACTAGGGGGCGTGGCTTTTGCGAACGGTCAATTGCAGTTATTCACAGAATTATCAACTTTACGTGGGTGTGCCTCGGCACGGCACAGCGCAGATGAATCCAATGTTTTGAGGAGAGTGTGCAGCTGTCAGTCACCGCACCGGTGTGGATCCTGGAATTCGGAATCAGATTATAGTTTTTGGAAGTATGGCCAACATAAGAATTTTCACTGGAAAATGTCATCTGAACAAGTAAGTAACATCCACTTTTGTTCTGACCAACTAAGGGAAAAAAGCATTGCAGTAAATCGCACTGATTAAATCTAACGATCGCTTATCATATCACGTCAAACCGTGCAAATTATACTTTGTTCTCAAAATGTTAATGTTCAACATCAGCATTGCGTGAATACATTTAATGCCCTTCCGATATTTATCCTTGTTTTCGCATGGGCCGGTTGCAGTCTCTTCTTTTCTGTAGCCATTCCGAAGTCTTTTGCATTTTACAACGGGTGAATCTCCAGTTGTCACTGGTGATTGTCGTTTGAACCTTTCTGGATCCGCCATCAAATTGATAAGTTTAATTATATCAAGTGCTGTGAGAAAAGGCTATAAATCTCCACCTCCAACATCCTCACACGCAATATAGCCTACTAGCCGAGAGTCTCTTTATGTGTACAGATGTGACGTAATATACGCAAAGACATGCTCGAATTTCCCGCGGAAATCCACCAGTACCACTGGAATTAAAAACATTATTACAAGCTAACCGCTTTGAATCGAGCTACGGCAAGCAGATAGCGTTGAACACTGGATGGTTATGTACTTGCTCAAATTTATTTTGGATAATTTTTAACCCAAAAAAGTTACGGACTGGAGCTTTAACTAATGTTAACAAATTAAACCTTTTTGTAAAGTGTTACAGATTAAACACTGTGTAAATGCACTTAATAACTTTTTAAAACATCTTTAAAGCTAATAAACGTGATCTTCCAAGGATTTCTCAAAATAATTATGGCAATATAGTACTGAATGTTCACGTGTAAAGGGCACCAATTTCACAATTTCTTAAATAAATTAAATGGTAAAAAAAAAAAAAAAATACATTGAGCAACACACAAAAATGTAACAAAAGAATAGAAAAAAAAAGAGGTTGTTGTTTTTACCCTGTTGGCTTCAGCAAATTTTGCAGCAGTGTAATATTCTGCATCTGCTCTTGCCTTCTCTCTTGCCAGAAAAGCAGCATCTGTTACAATCAAAAAATGGGTCTGATGAGCAACATACTCTGTGTGACATGCTGTGAAAATGCTCTGTAGATAAACCAGACCTTCTATTTCGGAGATCTTTTTCTCTGTTTCCTTCTCCATCACTTTTTGTTGGAAGTGAATCCCTGCCACTTGAGCCATTTTCTCAGCCTCTTTAATGAGAGCAACACACAAGATGCATGAGGGCAGAACCCTGATCCTGAACATGATCAGCATTATATTTGTAAGTTTGGACTCACCTATGATGGCCTTCTTTCTCTCAGTTTCAGCCTCTTTCTCCACAACTTTCTGCGTCTGAACGGTGATAAGCAGCCTTGTCTTCTCTGCTTCCCTGCAGATCATAAAAGACAGGGAAAACAATTATGTAAAATTTTTAGTAAAACAATAGATACATGCATTCAAGGACAATAAATCAAGATGCCTGATGATATTCAGTACAATACCGATCGATCAGTATGATTTTTTTTAAAGGAAACAATACTTTCCTTCAGCAAGGAGGATGCATTAAATTGATTTAAATTATTTGAAGGTTTCCTGCTGCTCTTTTGAAATTTCTATTCATCAAAGAATACTAATAATAATAAATGTTTATTGAGCACCAAATCAGAATGTTAGAATGATTAATCATGTGACACAGCAGACTGGAGTAATGATGCAGAAAATTCAGCTGTGCCATCGAAGGAATGAATTGCATTTTAAAATATATTAAAATAAAATAGTTATTTTAAATTGTAATAATATTTCACAATATTACAGTTTTTTTTATCAAATAAATGCAGCTTTGATAAGCATTTAAAAGACTAAAACATATAATATATGATCTTACAGACCCTAAAAGTTTGAACAGTAAATCTTAAAATCCTCTTTAACTCTTTCCCCGCCATTGACGGAAATTTTCGGCTTTCCATGTTTTCACTATTATACGGTAGAGGGCGCTATGGCACATCTTCTGAAAGAGTACTGAATCTCCAGATCAAAACACAGGCAAAGAGGACGCAGAAACAACCGATAGCATATGTAATCATTTGCATATGTAAAAAAACGCGACCATAAACATTAAACAGCTTAATGTAACTGAATGAAATGTTGACCTAGGCCGAGCCATAGGACTGTGAAGCAGTAGGGGTGTTGATGGACTCAATTTACTCCATCTATGTTTTGATCATCGTTTTGAATCCAATCTGGATGTAGTCTTTGACAAAAAGATTTTCTCAGCTTTTTGCTCAAAATGCTGCAGCTTTTTATGAAACTTACTACATTGAAGTGTTGATAAAAAAATGCATGAAGCTAGAATAAAACTTTTTTTTTTTTTTTAAAGCAGAGGGTCTGTTCTTTCTTTAGATATATTGCATGTTCAGGTATTCATACAACAAAATATTCTATGGGCCATTAATTTTGTGAAAATTATCAAAAACACTGGCAGTGGCTGGCAACTTTTTAAAAAAGCACTGACGGGGAAAAAGTAAAAAAATCTACAAGAGTAAAAGCGTGCAAAACAGCACAACTATCATTTTAAAAGCACACATTAAATCATTAATACATTAAATCACATCCAATCAAACTGCACAGAATAATATAAGAAATATAAAAATTTTAAATAAATAAATATTCACTCACATTAGCTCATAGTTTCTTCTGATTGACTCTGGAATTTTAGGTTTGGTGACTCGCACGGCCTGCAATATATCATGTAAGTGTGTAATTCTGCTGAAGTCAAAGCTGAAACCCCAGAGAGAAAAAAAAAACTGTGGAGTAAAACCATACCTGAATAGTGAGACCAGGAGCCATAGCATTCAAATCCTTCTGCAGTGCAGTCTTTAAGTTCTCATCAATTATGTCTGTCAAACAAAAACGACACAAATGCAAGTCTCTGACAAAGATGAAACTTATGACACAGCAGAAACTTCAGTGCCCATATAAACAACTAAAAGTTCACATTATACTTGGCAGAATAAACTGTTTGACATAAGTGACTCACACTCACCGAACAGCTCTATGTAGACTTCCTGTAGTGTGTGCACACTGCAGAACTGGTTTAACTCATGGTGAATTTTGTTAAAGATTAGCGTCTTGTCATAGTCTGCAGTGTAGTTCTTCACTATCTCCAGCACTGTGGAGAAAAAGAACAAGAGCATTATTTCTATCTTCCACAGAAGAAAGTAATACAGGTTTGAAAGAGGATTTAGGGTGAGTAAATGATGAGAATTTTTTTTTACATTTTTGGGTTAACTCTCTCTTTAAAGTCGTCATGAAATCAAAATTGACCCCATTTACTTTGTTAGTGGACATTACTAGTCTTGTGGTGAACAATTAATCCGTGCAAGTTAATACACAGGAAGAAAAACTGTTTTGTCGTGGTAAACTTGAATCAAAATCTGAAAATGTCCTTAACCACTCCCCTCCAACAGTCAGTGCGCTATGAGCAAGGGATGAAGAGGAGGTGCTCTAAAGTAAAACCCTGCCCTCTGTTTCACTTGGAAATGCATCACAACATGGAAGTAAAGTCGGTTGCAACTTCCGGATCACAGGAACTTTAAGGCTCTTACCAGCTGATGGAACCAGCATGTTGACCACTTCAATTCTGTCAAAATAGATCATAACACCCCCACTGTGGAAGACAGAGAAAAATGATCATTTTTATTCAAGAGCCACAGAAAATATACCACGCAAAATAAAGATGCCTATTTATTATTACAGAACATCCAACAAAAGGAAGGTTTACCTGGTTCCACAAGGCACATTTTTTATTTCATCAGTTTGCAAAGTTGTCTATAAACGTGATGCAAACATGAGAGAAAAAAATTAGCATCTTCAACAAAATATTCAAGAACCACAAAAACCCACCCTTGTTACAGAAGTCAAATAACATTATCATGATCAGCAACATTTAAAGCTGTAATAAGAGCAATAATGAATTTGTTATTAGGCCAGTTGTAAAAAAAGAAAAAGAAAGAAAGATAAAAAAAAAGACATTTGTACCTGCACTGATCTGTATGAAGTGATAAAAGGCAGCATTATATGGTAACCTGGGCCATTAGGAGATGTCAACAAAGCTCCTCCTCTGAAAAATAAATGGTAAAACAAATGAACTAATATGAATGATAGTGAATAATAAATGTCACCAATTTCATTTGAATATAAATAACATTACCACTGCCATTTTCATTTTTGGGTGGAAACTTAAAACTTAAAACCCAAAACTTAAAATTCTGTCATCATTTACTCATCCTCATGTCATTTCAAACCTGTTTAACTTTCATTTTTCTGTGGAGCACAAAAATAAGATATTTTGAAGAATGTTGGTAACTAAAACGTTTCAGTGAGCATTGACTTCCATTGTATGGAAAAAAAAAAAAAAATTCTCTAAATAGTTAATTTTATGTTAAACAGAAAATAAAAGTCATACAAGTTTGAAACGACATGAAGGTAAACAATGATGACAATTTTCATTTTGAACGACTGAAACAAAGTTAACTGATCAAGCCTTTCCTCAACCTACAATTATATTACAGGTATTTTATGAATGATTAACACAAGCAGCATAAAATCCTGGATATTTTCAATGCAACTTCCTTAGACTCACCTGTAATACACAGCTAAATGTCCTTCCTCAATCTTGTGTATGGAAGAATGAAGCAGAATGGACATCACACCAGCCATTGCTGCAACTACTGCCCCAACATGTGCCATTGTCATTTGGCCAGCGTTCACCTGCCGAAAGACAAGTTTGTAAAAAGGAAACCTGAGTTCATACTTAGGATAAACACTCAATTTAGGTGACAAAAGATCAGCTTATAACACAAGCTAGGGCCCTGGTTGCAAACATGTAAGTAGATCAGCCTGTGCTGCAGAACCTCCCTCCACTGAGTCCCCCCCACCCCACAAACACACACACACACACACACACACACACACACACACACACTTTGGAGTGCTGCACAGCAAACCGAGATAACAGGTTTTCAAAGTCCATTAGACCCACACATAGCCCCCATACACGGAAGTAATGTTTCCAAATGCAAATATGCAATACAAATACATTATTATGGCCACATCGTGCATGTATTAGTGACAGTGAGAGCTGCATAACTCTCACAGCTATTTTAGGGAAACGAGTGTCAATCATAAGGCTGTCATAGGAATTGCGTCTTAACAGAGCTGCCTACTAGACAGCTAACAGTTAGTGCAGAAGTGCAGTTTTTTTTCCGAATGCGCCTATGATGGTGTCTAGGAAGGCAACTCGGTATCTTTTTAAAACATAGCGTTAGCGTCTCCATGACTTGTCCTGGCTACGCAGGCAAGCTACTTCCTCAAATGAAGTGCTGACTCGCCCGTACAACGTTAACGTTACACGACACGAACTGATATGGATGAGCGTAATAATCTGTCGGTTCATATGCTAAAACAACCGTTACAGTCATTCACGTGATCTAGACATTGTAGAAGCCACCACATCACTCACACGACTACACTTGTTAAGCTAACCCACGCCCACGGCTGGCTAACTAAGCTAATTATTTGAAATGCAGGCAAAACGACATTCTGTCAAGTTAAACGCCATATACGATGGGCTAATAATAGCAACAGTAATCATTTACCGATCATTCGTTTATATAATGGACGATGCTGTCCTCTCACTTTCGCAGGACATTACTTTATTACTCACGACGCCGTGTCCAACATTGTAGGTTGGAAGGTTCCCAACTGAAACGCTTTGTGAATCCGATACTGATTTCCCTTTCAAAATCTGCTTCAAGCACACCTTCAAAATAAGAGTCACCAGTTAAAGGGATAGTTCACCCAAAAATGAAAATTCTGTCATCACTTACTCACCCTGTCGCTATTGTTACAACCCTGTATGAGTTTCTTTCTTCTGTTAAACACAAAAGAAGATATTTTGAAGAATGTTGGTAACCAGATAGTTGATGGACCCCATTGACTTCCATTGTAGGAAAAAAAATACTATGGAAGTCAATGGCTACTGTCAACTGTTTGATAACCAAAATTCTTTAAAATATATTATTTTGTGATCAACAGAAGAAAGAAACTCACACAGGTTTGGAACAGCATGAGGGTGAGTATGTGATGAGAATATTTTCATTTTTAGGTGAACCATCCCTTTAATTCTGGGATAAAACTGTGTGCACGTGTCTGAAAACTTAGAAACATTTTTTTTTAATTCTTTTGCTACATTATATTTGTCTCGATTGTAACGCCATTTACACGATATTTACGTTCTAATCTAATCGCCAATATTGACACTACTTAATTACACCATTATTAAAAATCATTATACATATAATTAGACGTGTTATATAACACATTTTTAAGCAAAAGGGCTTTACACTGAAGTCAAAAGTCATATTTTGTTAACGTTCAAGCAAGTCGTGTTACAAGACCATACAAACTACGCATAATATTATATTATGTTTCATATATGTATTATAATCTTAAAATGTAATGAATAAAATAAAACAAAACAATAAAATGTGTGAATTCCGTGTGCTATGGGTTGCTATGGAAACAGACGCACACACTCAGAGGGTGAGCTGCTTACGGATTGAAAATGGATGTACTGGGAAACTTGGAAGTTCGGTGAGTTAACGTTACGAATTATTTATTTGAGAAAACTTGGAAAGTCTTTAACATTGTTTCCGTAGCAGATAAAGATTTTTTAGCTTGTTAAGTTATCCTGTCTGGATAACACATTTTTGCATCATTATCCTAGTTAGCTAACAGTTACCTAGCATTGAGCAGAAAACATGCTCGAATATACACAGCACACACTGGAAATACTTTGTTATGATATAAAGTAAACTAAAATACACTAGAATCAACGTACTACTCTTACAATCTGGACAAAAAAACACCTAGACACAAACAATAAAAAAGCTAACAAAATATGTACAAATATTGTAACGTTAGTATTCATGCCATGATGAGAATACATAACGTTACACAAGATATGTAAATAATGCTGCTTTTATGTTTATTGCCATGTATAAGGTGGGTGCAAGGATTCACCAATGGCACATTTAAATTTGTCGACAAGAAAACAGCATGCTACACCTGCGGAGATTTCATTGTTTTCCTCAATGTGGAAACTAAAACGAGGAAGACTCTGCAGAGTCCTGCTTCTGGTATTGGGGCTTTTACAGCAAGTGGACATCGCAGGTGTCTTGCTTTCTCTGACCTCAGACTGAATCCTTCCATCTTTGTCTACAACTATCCAGAGCTTGAGCTAATGTGTGAACTGAAAGGTCAGCTATTTTTGAGTTGCACCTTGAACAACAAACTCCTAGAGCTGGTTTGGGACACACACAATTTTGTAAACATGTAAAACAATTTTTAACATGTAAAACTATTTAAAACTTGTTCTCTTTTATTTTTTTAGGTACAGCTCAACTGGGCTATACAGCTTTGGCACTGTGTGATACTGGCCCTTATTTAGTCAGTTCTTCCTCCATACCTGATCAAACCATCACGTTATGGTAAAATTCATGTATATATATATATATATATATAATATATATTTGAAGACCCCCGATGCAAAAGCCTCTAAAAGCCACCTAGGCCTATGTCAAAAATGAGATAATAATATTGAGTGAATGCTCTCCGCACATAGTATATTCATTAAATGCTTTTACTACAAACTCAATAAATCCCAGCCTCAGCCCATTCAGAAATGTCGGTACTTAGGTAGAAACCTATACATAGGAGCCTGATAAAAATGTTAATATTAAAGAAAAATGTTTGATGGACTTCGATGCTTTTACATCTGAAGTCTTCATATATATATATATACATACAGTATATATATAATACAAATACAATAATTTTATTTACATTAGTCTGAGATTTGCTACAGAAGTTATTTATATTTTACATTACAGTTTTAATATTATTAATTCATATCTTTTTAGGAACTGGGAGAGTATGATTCCACTTTGTAGCCATCCAATTTTGGGAGAGGACATCACAGCACTGGTTTTCAACCCCATGAACTGGTGTCAAATTTGTGCTGTAAAATCTAAAGCTCTTACCATCTGGAATGTTGAAAGATGTGGCAACTATCATTTGATGAATCCTAGGTAGAGTGTGTCTCCAGCAGATGTCATTGTTATTTGCACATGTATTTCATATGCCGATGGGATCAATGCACAGAAATTGTTAATTGTACTCATTATATCTTCTTTATGTTTGCTTGGCAGTGCTGTCGATCTCCCCGCCACTGATGGTTCAGCTATTGAGTGTGAAGCAAGCCCGTCTCATATGCTCAGTGGGAAGCTGACCCACTTCAGTCCTCAGATGCCCACTTCAGCTGTCGCTGGACTGAGTGGAGACAAAGCTGACGACTTTGTGGTATGGGCTGTGTCTTTAGTTAGAAGTGTGTTCTCATAAACCATTAGTTCTCCTGAAGGGTAACACTTTATTTTAAGGTGCTTGTAATAAGCAGTAATTAACAGTTAATAAGACACTTATAAGACCTTATAAGATGCATATAAGATGCATATAAGCATTAACTAATGATAATAAATAAATAAAATTAAATAATACATTTCTCAAGTATCAATACATTGCACTTTTAGAACAGCCAAACAAACATAAATGGTAACACAAACTCCCAGTCCCTTAAAAATTGACCTTCCCAAGAGGGAGTAGTTTCCCTGATCTCTTCAGGGCCTGGACCTTTAATTAACCCTTATATGAAGTAGTTAATGCTTATATGCATCTTATATTCATCTTATAAGGTCTTATAAGTGTCTTATTAACTGTTAATTACTGCTTATTACAAGCACCTTAAAATAAAGTGTTACCTCCATTTTTCAATCAAAACAAAAGTATAGACATTGGTTTAATCAATGATCATTTTTAATCAATAAAATTAATTTGAAGTAAGACTGCTTTTCTATGGGAAAGATCATCAAAATCAAAAAGTTCGGACTACACTTGATTTTTGTGAAAGTGAGAGCAAAATATTTGTCTTTGTCCCAACAGCCTTTGAAACGAATAAAAACAAAACTGTGTCCAAGTGCCATCTGCTGGTCAACTTCTTCGGACCTATATGTTGGTTGCAAGGAAGGTTTCCTGCTTTGTGTGAATCCTGACACTTTGCTTGTCTCTGTCCTGTATAAACCCCAAACTGAAGTAACCAGCACAGGTAAACTTATACTTGATACATATCAAATTAGAACATTATTGATTTCACTATTGACATTTTTGTAACTAGTATACATTTTAGACTTATATAGTTCCTTTTTTTTTTAATTGCATGTCATTGTAATTTTACATCACAGATGACAGTGAAACATCACTACAGGAGGGCAGTTTCCAGAGCTTAGCACTGCTGGACTGTAATCTCTTTGCTACAGGAATTGTAAGAAATGTTATTTATCTTCACCCTGATAATAGCCCTGAAACTAAACACTACTCTCTTTTCAAGTGAGGCATAATTTCAACCTGATTCAAGAGCATTTCCAAAACCATTACAGGAAGGCATTTTGCGAAAAATACAAATGAAAGGAAACAAATTAGAGGTATTGCAGACTTGGGCTTTGGATGAGGCAGCCTCGGCTGTATGCTTTTCCCCTGATGGTGAGACACTGCTGCTAACTTCTAACACAGTAAGTGTTATTATAATTTACTATAAAACCAGTGTATTTTTATGATTCATGCCACAGATTTATTATTGTAAAAACAGTTTTATGATAATGTACAAGATATTTGATCAAAAACCCATCATAGCCTTATATTTATGCCAGAATGCAATGCAAATCATAAAAAAAAAAAAAAAAAAAAAAATTAAAGACATTGATGAGAAACATATAAATTCTGGTTTTGCTTCACAGGGCTGTGTTTACAGATTCAAACCACTTCTGAAGGATACAATTGTCAAAGTCCTAGATGTCCTCTGTGGAGATTTTGTGGCTGTTGCTCCAATCTACACTGATAGAAGCATTTGTTTGGTAAAAGACCTTTGCAGTGTCAGTAGGTTAAAGGGATAGTTCATCCAAAAATGAAAATTCTGTCATAATTTAGTCACCCTCAAGTTGCTCCAAACCTGTATGAATTTCTTTCTTCTGCTGAACATATATTTTGGAGAATATGGGTAACCAAACAGTTGCTGGGCAACATTGACTTCCATAATATGTATTTAAATTATTATTATTTTTTAAATGGTAAATGGACTGCATTTATATAGCGCTTTCACAGACCCAATGGCCACCAAAGCGCTTTACAATTTGCCTCACATTCACCCATTCACTCACTCATTCACACACCGACGGCAGTGTCAGGCATGCAAGGCGCCATCCAGCTCGTCGGGAGCAGCTGGGGTTAGGTGTCTTGCTCATGGACACCTCGACACTTGGTCAGGTGGAACCGGGGATTGAACCACCAACCTTCTGGTTTGTAGACAACCTACATGAACCACTGAGCCACTGCCGCCCCCATAAATACAATGGAAGTCAATGTTAGGTTACTCACATTCTCCAAAATACCTTTTGTGTTCAGCAGAAGAAAGAAATACATACAGGTTTGGAACAACTTGAGGGTGAGTAAATTATAACATAATTTTAATTTTTGGGTTACTATCCCTTTAATTATTTTAAATAATAAATTGATACTATTAGAATAGTATTATTACAATGTAATATATATTAGATTACAAAAAGTAGAAATAAAATATTATTGAAAATAGCATCTGCATCTCCATTGTTGCAGTCAGTCAGAGAAGCAGGAGACGT